GTGCCCTTTAGCAGCAGGACATTAAAGTGATAACTGGTCTTCAGATCCACGTAGGGGGGCGTCTTGACAACGGTAACAGCGGGGATGTGTTGACTTGAAGTGGATTGGCTATGCAATTGGCTGAGCCCCTGTGGGTGAAGATGGAAGCCAAAGCTATCCTTGGGCCCTGAGAAAGGGATCCTGTCGTATGCAAGCCTGACGGGGCGTCAAATCGCTGATCAATGAAAGGTCCGGGCTCGTGGGTCCCGGTAGCCGGCCAAGAGCTTAAACCTGTGCCCTCTCGACTGTCCGACGAGGGGAACGATCCCACGTTCTCTGACAGGCACCTTTTAATCGCGGGTAGATGGTCCGGGCTCGAATGCGACTCTGGTACTCTGTAGTGGGAATAGAACAGAAATGACCGGTATTAAGTCACGTATGTAGCGGTGTCAGTACCTTCCAATGCAGGGTATTATGACTTTTTCGTCTTTGAGAGCCAATGTCGAGGTGTGGATAACTGAATGGATGTGTAATATCTAGGTTCCGGTGGTGTCGAGTTCCCACAACTTCGGAGGCTGGCTGGATCAGCTAAGAGCTGGTAGTTGCTGTTGAAGCTGTCTCAGTGTAGGGTTATTGGCGGAAGAAGAAACTCGGGAAATTTGGTCAAGGGCTGAGACGTGCCCGCAAGGTGAAATCCACGACTAAGACACGTCGAGTAAAGAACAGCAACGGTGGTATGGGTGCGAAGCTGACAATGACATATAAACCCATCGACAGTGCGTTGAATACGGTTAGCAACAACGATGATCGATTGACCAGGGGGGTTAGAATGTTGTTACAAAGATTGGGTGACCAGATGGATGATGTTATTGCCAAATAGAACGTGGGGCGGGCTGAGCTTGTCAGAGTGGAGGAGGGAATGGGAGTGAGAGTTGAAAGGGAACGGGAACGGGAAGGAACGAACACCCCCCAGCGCTGCTAATGACAAGCGTCGTGCTTGCCTTGAAGCATCCCAGAATATCCCACTGTTCTGGCAGGACACTTCTTTTAGATTTGTGTTAGGCAGGTAAATCAAGGGGAGGCAGATACTATGAAAGTCAACCTGGAATCCTTCTCACCTTAGTCTCTCTACCTTTACCCACTAAGTAAACATTTTCTTTTCTTTTCTTTTTTTTTGTCTTTCCAAAATCTTACCTCACAATTGCTAGGTCGACCAGGATTCGCATACCCCCGAGTAGCTCCGCTTTGTTCGGCATGGAATGGAATGCGTCCGATCTCCTGGGTCCTGTTTCTCTCCGTACGAAATGCCGTTAAGGCTTTACCTGACTAGGACAATGCCGAAGCCGCAGACGGACATTTGCAGCTGATGGGCCGGTCTTAGTTAAATTCTTGCTATCGGAACCGCTTCCCTGGATTTGGGTCACCAAGTTCTAAGTGTGAGAATACCCACGATGTGGTATCCAACTGTTCTTTACTCAATAGGGGTCCTGACCCAACTAAGCTGATATGAAACGATGTAGAATGGACTCAAGCAAACTGAGTCCCGGCGATCTCAAGACTCTTTCACTTCCCGTTCATTCGATGTGGAATGGACAACCTTCTTCACCTGGTATTCAAAAGCAGCTACCAATGGCTGCTAATCCTTGCAGTTAGGGTTCACATTGACACGACCTGGTCTTATTCAATCCACATTGAAAGACAGACCTCGAAATGGTTCAGATCCATGACGGTCACAACATCTACGGTGCATACAACAGCCAATTCAGGCCACGATATAATGCACCTTTAGGCAATGTATAACTAGCTACATACAGAGTACAGTCGTGTTAATCTGGCGGCGTCACACCTGTCGGAACTATAGGTCAGGGATCACCCATGAACAGGGTCAATCATCAACGGTGGCACAACCTATCAGGACTCTCAGGGTGGAAGCTCCTGGGATAGCTGGACTGAGATCAGAAAACTAGGTACAATAATGTCGACAGCCCTATGCCAAGTTTTGAGCAGAAATGAAGCGTCCGCTCACATCGCCCGCCATATTGCTGTTTCAACATGGTTCTGCCCTTTTCTCCTTCACATCAGGCTCACGCACAAAAAACTACTCCCGCGGACTTTTCTCTTCCATACATGGTGGCACCTACTTTGACAGGCTTGGCATTGAAATGTGGTCATAATCCCTGGTCCAAAACGACTAAGATGACGATCGAAAAGATGTTATCAACAAGGGTGCACTGCACAGTATGAAAGGATCTAGGTAGCGCTCTGGAGGACATGTTGCGGAGGAAAAGCGAGAGCACCGTGGTCCGGATACATCCCAATTTGTGGTTGGTGACAAAAGCGGCGAGCGGCTTGATGATGATGTCCTAACGCTTGGATCAAATCCCGCTCCCGGCACTACCTGTGTGTGGGTATGAGTCGCGTGGCTGGGACTAGCAATGAACTTCGTTGTGGGTCACGGCTGTCAGAGAGTTGGTTTGGGCTCACGATCTGTTCTATTCTCTCTTGTCGTCGACATCATGTCGACATCGAGTCCTTGTTCTCATCTTCAAAACAACCATGTGGCAAAGACTTGGTTGATATCCTGGAACCTTCTCGTTTCCTATCTCTTTAGAACCATCAGCCAGCTTGGGTTGAACATCACAGTCGGGAAAGCAGCGGCTTTGGTGTTTGTTATTGGGGTTTACGATATATGCCATCCGGATACTTTTTCCTAATGGATAGAACAAAACGCAACTTAGTATGGTTGTGGTTTCCTGGGACACTCGACTCCCTTTGTTCAAGTCAGTTTTGAAACAACCCCTGCCCAATCCAGCATTCGGCCATACCACATTGGTTTAATGCTGCATATTTTGGTATCCCACTACATATCCCTTCCACCATGCACATTAACGTGGTGGCTTTGTATGCAGGCTGGCCAGTGAGGACTAACCTTGCATGAGGTTGAACTCTGCAGATTATAATCCCCTGTTGTGGCCTGTACTATGATATCGGTGATGCTCAAATTGTGACATCTTTTCAGCCAACACCCGATATTCGTCGGCGGCCTAGTTTTGGCGTAGTGTATGGAGCATCGGTTTCGATATCACGGCTTCAGATTTTGGGCATAAGTGATATAAATCTACAGATATCCTTGTCGATACTGCGATGCACAGCAACAGGAAGAAGCTTGGCTTATCACAGTCCAGAGGTTATTTGACAGCATGGCGGGCTTCTAGAACAGGCCAGAGCTATGTGATGTGTGCACACAACGTCAGTAGCTCTATCGTCAGGTCGGGAACGACTCAGAAGCTACGCATGTTTGCGTGTACAATGGTCATCCTCATTTGGTTATGTCTACGCCTGCCTGAAAGACCAAACCACTCAGCAATCTCGTGTTGGGGCAGATGACAGGTCATGCTTGCAAGGAAGACTGTCCTATCTGCCGTCTGCCCTAACCTAACAAAACAAGCAGTCACGACAACCAACAAACGGCCCACCAGGAGACAGACATTCTAGAGGTTTTCGCCCATCCTCAAGTACTCTGTTGGTCCCAGATGCTGTGTAAAATAATTACTACCCCACATCGCAATCCAATCCGGTAAGACAGTGTTAAGCCAAAGCGACGTGTTACCCAAAACTGATACACTGGCAAAGGCAAAGACTGGGGGCCGAAGAATTGGACAGTTCCAGCTTACCACTTTTCGGAAGATTTTCATCCTCGCGTTGCCCTCACACTTGCGTTCGCACTCATCATGCATACTCTCTCAATACTTCCTTGACATAGTACCCACCGGACGTACAGGAGACTCCAACAGGGCATCTTAGACTAGGACACCAAGTTCGTCAAGACGTGAACCTATTTAATACGCTACCAAAAGCTCGTGGAGTGGCCTGACAAAAGCAGTGATATTTTCCCGGCATCAAAGCCAAGAAGTCGAGGCAGGGTGGTGGAAAGGGCTAACATGGTATCGCACCACTATAACAAATTAGTGAATCAGTTCTAGTTCTTGGACGCAAGTAAATCTGGCGACAATTTGACTCAAACGAAAAAAGAAACCGGCTTCTCTTGGCAGTTTCCATAGGCAGAGACTAGATGCTTTAAGAAGTTGGCATGGTTCTACCAGGGTGTGGTCTTCTATTACCGCTGGAAACTACTGTGACATCGTGAGGTAGAATACCTCGATAATAACACAAGAACCAGGATACTAATACTACATGTGAAAACGGACCCACGGAGCTCTTTTGCTGTTGTCATATTGATACGACTCCAAGGAATCTCCACAGAGTCCGTCAAAAGTCCTCGGCTTTAGCGCTCTATTTCGTTTTAAACCCGTTTCACATTTACACCAAGATTTCATAAAGAAGGACTGATCAATTTGTGCAATATAGATGCCTTGATCACAGCAAAGCGCCCATGAGGAGATGAGTCAAGCGACGACAATACTGTACCTACCGAGCCTCACTCTTGTTATTATTCTACTGACCTAGGTAGAACCCCAGGGGTTGACCATGCAACAAGATGTGGAAATCACCACAAGTCAGGCCTTTCAGCCTGAAATTCATTTCAGTGGGGCGCGGATCCGAGTTTCGGGGCTCCGGCTTGTTTTGACTCTTTGAACATTAGCCGCCGAGTGTGCTATAGCTATGGAGGAATGAGATTACTGTACAGCGGCAGTCTTATTGAGGTTTCACCGAGACTTCCTGCGAATCCCTTTTGTTTCCTCCATTGACCTGCGTTTCCACAAAGGGATATGATCTACAAATTGACCCCTGTCTGGTGTTGACCATCAATCAAGTCTTTCTCATTCAGGCAGTTGGGCGTATGGAAACACGACAGTATCGTGCAACGCACCACAACTCGATCTGGCACCATGGCGCTCCCATCTCCTCAAACCGTGTTTATCTATTGACTAGGCACAAACCCCTGTTGGTCAGCTCTCTTGAATCCCGGTACACATTAGGACCTTAGTTCACTAACGAGTCAGCATTAGTATTCCGTACGGACATCTCTGTGCTTTATATCGGTACGACAAGGAACGAGTTCAACGATGGAGGCTTTGGATGAATCTAGAAGTATGTCCGGCCAGCCTCACGATGAGCAATGCAGAAGGGATCTCCTGGTGGTCACAGCTGGTATGACGAACACCGGGATCAGACGGGAAGCGCTCCACCTCTTGGGCTATTTTTTTTTTCCAATCTAAGACAACACCACTCATACTCACAGTGAGCGGCCGACATGTTGAAGTATTTGAGTATCTACAGCGAAACGATTACTTGGAAAGACCGCGTCTAAACTGACCAATAGGTCTACAAGAAATAAACACCAGCCTCACGTAATGTGCTTCTCGCTCCTAATGATCGTCTTTTCATGAGACTTGATTCATTTCGACCCCTAGGGTCTTTTCAGTGGCACCAAGGTTCGTCCAATGTTTAGGGTCGTTGCTAGAATGTCTCTCTTGGCGGTGACAGGACGGGGTGAACCATCCCGCCGGCGACCCTGTTCGGCATATTTTTACTCCGAGCATTTTAAATCCTGTCTTTGCTGTGGGAGCTGAAGGATCCAGACAATACATAATACCCGTGGTCTTTTCGCTCCGGCCCATGACAAGTCAAGTTGACTATGTAACCTTGGATCTGCGATGGGCTTACTTTGCTAGACAATGTAGCTGCTAGTCTAGCTACCACGTTAGCACGTATGCATTGCATTGCACATATCAATCATGCTATGAGAATCATGTACTATTCCGTCAACCAAGTTTCATCGGATATGCGGGACGACTACGCCCTGGCTAGCTGCTTACCTAGATGTATGTACTGAATAGCTAGCTGCACGTACATGCATATATGTAATGTGCTACTACAAAGACAAACCCGTCTGTCAATCTACGTACCTACGAGTAGGTAGGGGAACGAACACTACTACCCTAGGTATCCAGCATAAGATGGTGGATGTTTCCACCTTTTTCTCCCCCTCTTTGAAGCTGCAGAGCAGCCCAGGCCAGTAAAATTATATCATGGCATTGACAGAGTTTGACCAGGGCCTTGGCCTGAAATAGGGAGGGACCCTTGTAAGCCTGGCCGCAATCCAAAACAAACAAAGGGATTCGACATGTACACGGTGACGCGCCCAAAGGTTGAAGGGGTAAACCCTCTGCATGCTTGAGCCTATCATGACTCTTTGAAGAGTGCAAAGTTGAAACAACCTAACATAGTTGAATCTGTCCTCTGTGGTTTAAGTAGTCAAGGTCAATTCCGCACTTGAGGACGGACGCCGCGGATTTGCGCAAAAAAGCTAAAGACCTAATAACACCGGACTGGCACTTTGACCATCAAAGCTTGGACGACTTTACCTTTTCGCGCAGCTTTTGCGAGACGATTGAACTGGACTGAGTTGACCTGACCTGAACTGAAGTGCTCCGCATTGCATGTACAGCACAGCATTGGAGATTAAACTCAAGCCTACTGCTGCCTACCTACCCAAGACTTCTATGTCTATACACCTGTGCAGGACACATCTTACTGCTGCCATTGCTGCAAGTCTCTATTCAGCTGGGGGGAAACAATGACAATAATCCCATCAAGCATCCACTTTGGGATTGATGCCACAAAGCACTTTGTGTCTAACCTCGATGCTGTGTCACTCACACTTCTCACCGTTACACTTGTCGCTTTCCTCATCCCCATCTTTATCCTCTTCCCTCCCGTTACCGTCGACTGTAGCGACGTCCTCCGGCAGACCCACTCACGGGCCGGCGAGCCACTCCGAGATAGCAACATCCATCGTGAATCATCACCGGATCATCGGGCCCGTGACAGCAACCGTTCCGGAGGAGAGCAGCAGCAGCACATCTTTCCCGTCCATCTCTGCCGTGGAATTGAGCTCCGACGTGACGGGACTTCTTCCTTCAGCAGCTCAGAATGTCATCACTTGTACATGTTTGCTCATCAAAAGCGTGATGATGATCTCGTGTGGAAAGCTGCCACTTGCGAGAAATTCCCTTTGCTGGCCAATATCGAGGTCGACCTCTGGGTTCATGATCCAAACAAAACGAGCCGTCTTTTGGGCAAGGTAGAAGGCTCTTTTCTTGTTCTGAGGTTTCCTTGGACAGATGCAGGACTACAGGGTATTCTACAACGCATCTCGGCCAAACTTAGCCACGGGTTTAATGCAATTCCTGAAAAGGAGTTTATGCTGCCAGTTTCATATCCGAATGAGGATGAAGTCAAATTAAGAGGATATTCCTTTGCTCATTTTGAGAAAGGAGACAACAAAGTCATGGCTTTGAATATGGACGTTGAGCTTCCTACTGAGCTGGCTCAGTATTTGGGGGCTGAGAAAGTCGGAATCTTTAGGTTAGATCAGCAGTCATAAGTTAAAATAATAATCTAGATCAGGACAGAAAACAGCACGCGATTAGAAAGAATGAAGAATGAAGAAAGCATCTCATGAGTAGAACAGATATACATACTCATCAAAAATGGTTGAAGCAGACACAAGCTGTTTAGAGTGTCTATACCCATGAAGCGATTACTTTGTTAAAACGGATACAAGACAACGAATCATCTGAGTAATATCATGACATACAAACAAAATCTATTCCACAGCCATGCCTTAACAAATCAAACGGTATCACAAGAAGTCCTAATGCCAATATGGACATTAAATCCCCCAACCAAAACGACGCCTCATGTACAAGAGCCCCCAACCAGTTTCCTTTCATACACTCATATCAGACATTTCTCGGTTGCCGTCAGCATCATTACTTCATATCCGCCGGCGTAAGCGCCTGCACCATACTGGTGCCCTCGCTGAAACGAGTGCGGAAAATGCGGTTTGCGTTCTGGAACATGCCGTCTTTCAGACTGACGACGATGAACTGAGAACCCTTGAAACGCGTCTTGATGAGACGACCGATGTTCTGGGTATGTGAGAGATCCAGCGCGGCGTCGACCTCGTCAAGAATGTACATGGGCGCAGGCTTGAATTGAAGCAGAGCCATGATGAGTGACAGAGCAACTAGAGATCTATACGAATTGTTAGTAAAGTTACACAGCAACGTTTCAGGGCTGGAATTTCTTACCTTTGTCCACCACTCAATTCTGTCAAGCTTTGCTTCCATACTTTACCAAGACAAACCTTGACCTCGAGACCATCGCTAATTGTCTTGCCTTCAGGCGGATCGAGCTTGGCAAAGCTGCCTCCTGGAAGCAATTCAGAGAAAATGTTGCCAAAGTCACCGTTGACTTTCTCCCACGTCTCATGAAGAGCCTTCTTCTTGTAGTCGTCCAGACTGACAATGGTCTCCTCGATCTTGCGCTTGTCCCTAACTACAGTCTTTATCATGTGCTTGAGTGACACTTCCTTCTTCTCAACGCTGTCGATCATGTTCATGACCTTGGGGTTGATCTTCTTCTTCATACCCTGAAATCGCTCGGTCAAGTTGTGCAGCGTTGCCTTGCACTCTCCAATGTTGTGATCCTTGAAGTCATAGGGGGTTCCGCTGCGACCAAAATTGTCCTTTTCGTCCGCGATCCAGTCAAATTCCCTCTCAAGTCGAGCGACCTTCTCGGCAGCACCTTGTTGCTCCTTGTGGAACTTTTCGAGGAGATGGCCAAGCTTCTGCATTTCGAGACTTTCCTCAGCAATGCGCGCGCTCTTGGAGCGAATGGCATCATCCAAAGCTCGAAGCTCATTGTCGAACTGGTGTAGCTTGGCACGCTCATCGTCGAGCTGGGCCTGAACGGTGTCGTGAGTCTCAGTCAGGTCAGCCTTTTGTTTATTGAGATCCTCAATATCCTTCTGCTGAGCCTTGATAGCAACTTCGACTTCTTGTAATTGTTCTCGAGCAGCGGACAGATCGGAGCCTGCCTGCTCAGCATCAAGCTGTGCACCCTGAAGTTCCTTTTGCAATGTCTTGACTGCGGCAGCGTTCTTGCCGAGACCAGCTCGTAGTTTGTCGAGCGCTTTCTGTAGCTCGACTAGCTTGCCGTCCTTGTTATTGTCAAAGTCCTTCATGTCTTTCTCAATTGTCTTGACATCGGCACTTGCCTTGGCTTGTCGCGTCTTGGCCTCGGCTATGCTCTCTTTGAGCTCCTGGATGGTTGACTTCATGTTCTCCACCTCTTGAATGATGGAAGAGGAAGAGTTGCCACCGATTTGTTCCTCTGCGAGCTTGATTTCGTGGCTCTTTAGGTCTAAACCTTGCTTGATCTTGCGAGCATGGTCAAGCTTGGCCTTTTCATTCGATATCCGGGCCTGGAGCTCTCTCAAAGTGCTCTCGGCTTCGCTGAGCTGTCGGGTCAAACCATTCAGTTTTTGAAGAAGAACAAGAACGCCACTGGAGTTTGGAGAACTTCCACCAGACAGTGTACCGGATGGGTCGTAGGCGTCGCCTTCCAGAGTAATACTCCTCATGCGGACATTGGGATCAAAAGTGACCCTCTTAGCAGTATCCGCATCGGCACAGATCAGGGTGTTACCAAACACAAACTCCATAGCTGCTGACACTTGGTCGTCATAGCCGACCAGGGATAAGGCCAGGTCGACCTTGTTTGGTGCGATGTTTTGTGCCGTGGCAATGGTTTGAGCAGAAGCCTTGAAGGCAGCAATCTTGTTGAGAGGGATGATAGTGACTCGCTTCCGTAGTTTACCTCTCTGCAACAGCTGAGTACCCGTCACCTCATTGTCAACGACGACGTTGTATAGACGGCCGCCGGCGCAGATCTCTAGCGCAGTAGCGGCCTTTGTATACCCTTCATCCAGAGTAAATAGTTGAGCGACAAGTCCCTTAACCTTGGACCGGTCAAAGTTGGGTACAGGGTCAGCGTAGTTGAACTCTGTGTTGGCGACTTGACGCTTCAGCTTGTCAGATTCTTGTCTCAGGTTTCGAACAGTTTGCTGCAACTCGGACTCTTTCTTATACATTTGCTCTTCTTGTCCAGGCTCGAAACCCAGTCGGCCAAGCTCCTTCTCAAGCTTCTGTGCTTGGATCTTGAGACCATCGAGATCGCGTAACAGATCGGCATTCTGGACCTTGGCTTTCTCAGCACGTGGTTCCTCTTCCCTGATACGCTTTTCCAAATGCGCAATCTTGATCTTGGCCTGTTCTTGTTCCGTGGCTGCTGTGGTTGCACGGTTTTTCGCATCTTGAAGTTGACCCTGGTAGCCATTCTCCTGGCCGTCTTTAGAAGCAACACCGGTCTGTAAGGTCTGGAGAAGCTCTTCCTTGGATTCAGCATCCTTGTTTTGCTGCTCAAGATCCTCTTTTGCGGCATCGTATCTGGCCTTGGCGTTTTCGAATGCAGTAGTCTTATCTTCAAGGGTGGCTTCCAACTCTGAAACCGTTTTCTCAACTGCGATCTTCTTTTCTTCTTCCTCGGCTAAACTGGACTTTTTCAAGTCAAGAATGGTAGCTAGTCGTACAAGCTCATTTGAGTGTTTCTTTGCTGCCTCTTCCAATGCTGAAGCCTTGCCTCCCTTTCGGAGCTCCTTGTCTCGCTGAGCGCGCAATTTCTCCATATCTTCTTCAAGATGGGAAACTTCGCTCTTCAGACGAGCTGCTGAATCTTCGAGATCGCGCTGTCGTTGTTTCTTTCCTTCGAGATCTGCTGCTGATTGGCTCAGAGAATCCTGATATCTGAGATAATCGTATGCGACAACCACTCGGGTCAGTCTTTCGAGATCGTTTTGCGTTTGTTGAAAATCCAGGAAAGCACGCTTTTCAGTTCGTAACTTCTCCAACTTGGGCTCGATCTCTTCCTTTAAGAGTTCCGTGAGCTCAACCAGTTTTGTCTCCTTCTTAGCCATCGTCTTTAGGGCCTTGTCTCGACGATCCTCGAACATTCGGGTTCCGGCTGCTTCCTCGATCATCGCCAGAATTTCCACGGCCTTCATGTTGAGAACCTTTGTGATGCGACCTTGCATAATTAGGAAGTTGGGGCTGTTGATGTTGAGCTGAACCGACTGGAAGAGGTTCTGTACAGTTTGTTGCTGAGCACGGTGACCGTTGATGAGGTACTTGGAAGTGCCTCCGAGAACGATCTGTCGAGTGACGCTGATTGTGGCATATTCTTCGAATCCGATCGGCGATTTCTTGGTATCTCGGTTATCGAAAACGATGGTTACGCTGGCCTTGGTAACGCCAGCTTGACCACGCTTGTAGATCAGGTCCTACAATGTTGAAATTCAGTGATCAAGGACAAGTAGCGAAGCAGCGGTGACTGACCTGTATGTTCTGCGCTCGAACAGTTGCCATACTGGTAATTCCGAGAACAAAACATATCGCATCGAGAATATTCGACTTTCCACTACCGTTGAGACCGGTGATCGAGTTGAAACTCTCGTCCCTAAGAATGTCGGTTGGTTTAGGCTGTTGACTATTTTGATACATAACTTACCATCCCGAGATCACCGTTCTAACGGCATAAGACTTGAAGCCCTTTAAAAACGTTAGAAGACAAATACTGACATCAACTTGCGATATAAGTACTCACGTCAATAATTACTTCAATGACCCTCATTTTGGGCGTCGTCGAGCGTCTACGACTTCGTTGAATCTAATGCTTTGTTTCGTCGCTCCGCACTTCCAAGGGGGGGTAGAGGACGCGAAAGTAAACAATAGTTGCGACCGATAAGCTGTTATCAGCACGTGCTTAGCTGTATCGAGAAAGCCGCATGCGTGAAAGAGGGTACGTACTGTAGTTTCGTTTCTGTAGGGACGTTGACTGTTCTGCGGGTCAAATCCGATGATAATTAAGTTCCCTAAGATATTTTAAAGACGATATATGCTGTTGTGAGTATTCCAACATCATTTGTGAACATATCTCATCACTTTCACCTGCTTGTTTCACAAGACTATACCTTGTCATTAACGAATGGCGTGAATCGTAGCTTGTGCGTGTTCCACTTCTGAACTTGGAATTTCATCAACGCTAGTCCCGATCTAGGACCTAGGTAAACATCCCTCTTTGTTATTGAGATCTAGCTCCTCACACTTGAACTTCCCAACTTTCAAACAACACCAAACATTTCGACTTCGACCTAAACACACAACCCGATGAGTACATAACCACTATTACACGAACATAGTTGGTCTACAGCTTCTTTTCCCACTCGTACACACTCATTTATAATCGACACAATGGCGGCAATGCGAGGACCGCGCATTCCAACTGGCTCAGCAGCCTGGGTTGCTGACGAGCGCGCCTCTGCCCTCACAATTGTCGATGTTGAAGTTGATGAGTTCACATACGCGGCTCAAAATGAGTTCGAATGGCTTAATGAACATATGGCTAGTATATTCAACGAGAATGAGACGTACGCGTCCTGATCCTTTTGTTTTGACGCGATATTGATCATTCCACAGAAACATCGCCGAAACATTCAAAACGCCCGGAAAGCTTCGAGGCAAGACACCTCGCACTGCGCGTAAATTAATATCAACAGAGACAAGAATGGTGAGTTCGGCTGATCATTGATTGTGGGCAATAAATATTAACGATTCAAAGCCCTTGTCCAATGTATTTGGGGGCACATCAACGAGTTCAGCAAACCGCTTCGCACAGCACCTCTACGCGCAATCACCCCAAAGAGAGCTATTGAACCAGGCCAAGTCAACATCGCCCCGTCGACCTGCTCCGTCACCGAAACCAGCCCAGCTTATGTCCGATGACCCAATTGAAGATGCATCACAACACCCTACCAGCGAGGCTGAGCGTATTCTTTCCGACCAGGACGCACTAATGGCTGTCGACGAAGAGACAGATGCCTTATCAGGTGCCAAATCTCAACCCCAAATGCAAGCCGATTCAGGCTATTTTGGAAGTCAAGACGTCAACCCCGTTGTGCCTTTTGATCCTATGACCGAAGATGAAGAAGACGACGACGACTCACTCCTTGATCCTAACAACTTTGACGAAGACATCGCTTTCCCTCAGCCAAGTTCTTCGCGAGTTTCGCCCGCCAAGCAGACTACAAAGTCTTCATCACCAGCCAAGACCCAGCAACCAGCGACTGATGATATTGACATGGACGATGCTGAGGCAGAGCCTGAGGCCACTGACGACGCGATCCCAGATGATGCTCAGTCTCAGTCCGATGGCCCCAGTCCTGTACGACCAGGGTTCCGCAACAGTCTTCAATTTGCTTCCCTTCCCGCTCGAGAGCCTCTTACAGCAGGCAAGGCTAGAGTTTCTCGCACAAGTCACATTGATCCTAAGAGGACAAGCTACCTCGCAAGAGGTAAGAGCCTGGCAAGTCATGCTGGCGATGATGCATCAGACGAGTCAGACCAGGATGACATGGAAGTGGATGAACTACCTTCCGTACAACAATCTAAGAATGCCGAGGAACTTGCTTTGCACCACAACAAGACATACACACAGATGCTGCAAGACAAGATCAGTGTTCTTGGAAAATCGCAGCCAAGTGCAAGTCGACCATCAAAGTCGATCCACAGTATTACAAACTCTCAACAACCACAAACAGCATCTCAGTCTGTACCTGAACCACAATCAACGCCCCCCAGACCGCCCAAGAAGCAAGAAACGACCACAACTCCTGGCGCTTTCCCTCAAGATGATGAGGATGATGATGACTGGATTGTTCCTCCCACCACTCAGCCATCCGCCGCCGCACCCATTCCTACACGACCATCACTTTCTAAGAGCCGGACAGCCGATGTCATGGAAGGAATTCACGGCAAGCAAACTCTTGGATCTTTCGACTTGGATGAAGACCGCGCGAGCATTCGTTCGCCTGCTCGCGCCCACTCTCAGCGTGAGAGGCCCAGTTACATGGGACATTCCAAGTCTGTTTCAGTGCCAGCTGTACCGATGTTCACTGCTTCTGAAAGGCAGGAGGGAAGCCCGTTGAAGAACACAGTGCTTGGCTCAGACTCTCCTCCGAGACCAGCCACTGCTGTCTCGGTTGTTTCAGCTGTTGTTTCCTCATCCCCATCCAAATCCCCATCAAGACTCTTCCGCGATAGTCCTTTGAAACATCTTAAGAATAAGATGTCGTCCATTCTAAGTACTTCCAAGGGTCTTATGGCCAGTAGTGCAGCGCTTAGCGCTGAGGGTAAATCATCTCTCCTCTCACCCTCGAGAGTCCAACTTGGAACTTTCCCTGGTGATTCTGAAGAGTCGGTCGCTCATAAGCCAAGTATGGAGTCTTTCAGGAGTGGCAGCACTGCAACCGATCAGCAGTCAAATGCGCCTCGACCAGTTGCTAAGCGCACAAGGGCATCAGTTGAGCGTGAGAAGGAAGAGAAGCGGCGTGAAAAGGAGGCTAGATACCAAGCCGAGCAAATGGATAAGCTGGAGAAGGAGCGTGAGAAGGAGAGAGAAAAGGCACGAGTCTTCAGCAAGGAACAGGAGAAGCTTGCCAATTTGGAAAAACAGGTCGTTGCTAGGAAAGAGGCCGAACCAGCCGTGCAAGCTACACCTCAGCCTAAACGAACCAGCCCCCGAAGAGCTAAGCCGCAGGAGGAATTCGACAGCAGGTTTGCTGAGCCAGAGATGGAAATGGTTGACGCCCCCAGTCTGGTCCCCCCTCCTTCTGTTTCACGATCTGCTGCCCCTAGCCAATTGTCGCGTGCAAAGGAGATCAGACGAATCGGAAAGCCAGCCAGGGAGACAACTGTCAAATCAAAGCCAACGCCTACTGTCCACATCAAGGTCAACACTGGCTCACAGTTGTACCCTGGCAGCTCTACGGCCAACGGCTATCAAGACTTTGGTGCCTCAACAAGCTCTCAACCGCCTCAGATGACCAGCAAGGCTAGCAAGGTCTCTATGCAACCCAAGCCATCTGCTTCAGGCTTTGCTACTTCCACAGGATCAAACGGCCGCCCTAGAGCTCTTGACTTGGTGGCACAGAAGAAGGCCCAAGACGAACAAGCCCAACGCCGGCGTGATGCCAAGGCCAAGGCGGATCGAGATGTCAAAGCAAAGAGTGAGCGGGAGCGAGCGGCGTTGAAGGAGGAAAAGAAGAAACAAGAACTGCTACGCCGTCAGGAGGAAGAACGACAGAAGCGTGAGCAGGCCGAGGCAAAGAAGCGACAGGCACTCATCGAGAAGGCCAAGAAGACCCCTGCGCCACCTCCAGCCGTTCGATCGCAACCAAACGGCCCCCCTGATTCCATTCAACGTGATGGCATTCCTCGTCCTCCCTCTCGCATGAATTCAGGCATCTACAGGCCAGGAGACGACCTGGGTCGTCCCATCAACGGGTCCAAGTCTGCCATCAAGAGACCCCTTGGCCGAGACGTTAACGAGGAAGGACCTTCCAGACCCCCACCTAGCCGTGGTCCTCAGTACCAAGCGAAGGATGCCAAGCGTCGCCGAACAAGTGATGATTTTGCCGATGAGCTGGATATGGAACAGCCTCCCAATATCAAGGGACCTCCCGTTCGTCCATCCAGCGCTTTTAAGAGGGTAAGCATTGCAATAAACCTTGATACTTTGGAAGTGACTAACAAATACCAGGACCTGCAGGTGAAGAGCTTGGCCAGCGGCTACACCCAAGCCAGTGCACATAACCTTTTCAAGACCAACATTGCTCAAAGTCACATGAAGGGAGGTAACCCTATGGACATGGCGCAGATCCACAAGGGAACTATTCCCTTTGCTCCCAACCCCAACCCTGCAGGACCTGCATACAAGACACCGGGACGTCCTGGTCCTGTTGGTGGGCTCAAGTCTGCGGTCAAGTCTGCCCAAAGATCGTCGCCACGATTCCAGAACGGCGATGCAATCGATCTTCCAGAGATTCAAACAGACGACGAAGATGAGGAGGATGACGAACCACAAGCTGGCACAGTTGCTTCTTGGGCCAATTCTCCTGCCATTCGCGCGGCTCTCTTGGCACAGGAGAAAATGAATCCTGCAGCGATCTTTGGAGAACCAGGACCTATCAACATGGATGAGGTCTTCCATGCCAGCAAAGACAGGCTTCACAAGTTCCGCGCTCGAACCTCAAGCGCTAACTGGAGCGGTAACGATCGTCTGACCGAAGAAGACATCCGAAAGGATCTCGCTGCCAGAGATAGGCTTCGGCGAGAGGGAGGCTGGTCTTACCAACTGGGTAGAGATATGATGTAACGAATGACCTTTGGCGATGTGTATTTGATATGAGTACTTGATGAAGTCTCAAGTGGGAGTACATGGGGACTTTGTAAGTGGTGACATTAACCACAAGACGAAAAGGAAACGCATTGGAGCGATTGATTACTTGTGTATTTGGGCAACAGGGTATTGGATCGGCAGATTGGCTGTGCATATCTGTAATAAGCTGTATGAGATGGCATTTTGTTTGGCGTATGGCGAAAGGGAACAGGATTACAACCGGGATGAAGTATTCTATTTGGACGTAAAGCATGCAGGACATGGAAAGTATCACTGGAGCATCTCGAAGACAGCTCAATTACACGTTATTTTTAACTGAACTTTGATTGCATGCAATGTTTGATGCTAAACGGTCGAGCCTGTCGATAGCATATGATACAGCAATTAAGTGACTGGCTAAACCTTCTTCTATCTTCTGGAAAATCAACGATTGTCTTTTTATGGTTATTGAAAACCACTCTTACAACACGGACTGAGGCTTCATCTCACGATTATGGCTTTGTAAACCTCAGCCACTTTGTAATATTACATGGATCTTCTCAACCTCTTTTGATAGATGAACTTGACGAGGCGTCTCACTCGCTAGGTTCGCCTGGGAGTAGTGTCCTATTGGAAGACCAATCTTATCACTGCAGCCAAGACCCTGGCTCATGCTTCGTATAGTTCCACACCTCAACAATTCTTTTGGTTAGTACCCGTTTTCACATGTCAAAAGTAGATTCCGGAAGGGTACGGGACTACTCAAAGAAAATTGATAAGGGTCTGCAGGAGAGGCGAGGCGAGACCTCGTGCAATGTTCTATTTGATGCAATTGTTTCATGACACTAACTTTTGCTTTATTTTTTACTCAGCTGGTCTGTTTGTCATGAGATCTTTGTAGGACCATTTGGTTAAAAAGTCCAGCATCCATACCCGTCGCCCTCTACCTCATGTCATATCATGACATGTTAAATACTCATCCGTTTTTGCTCAGTCTTTCGTTATCACCACACTGTTATCCTTCTGCTTCCACACTTACGATATAACACACTCTTAGAACATGGCGTCGTATCTCGGATCGTTTGCACCCGCCATGGACGAGGTCAAGATCGACCAAATCACCGAAAGCAGGATTTTCAACGTTGTATCCATGCTTCCAACCTCGCTTCAATCGGGACCTATTCGATTTCTAAGACGGAGTATTAGTTCTCATACACTGCGGTCTTCTGTCGCTGTCTCGGGATCACAAGCTAAGCCTCGGCCTCTATCAGAAGCTGATGCAACTGCCATGAGCCGTCCACTTCAGTCCGACATGGTAAAACACCACAATGGTTATGCAGAGTCCCAAGACTTGTGCGCTCGGCCGATGAGTAGAGTTCTTTATTCAGAGCTACCAGAAGATGAGCCAGTGATGAGAGCTGCATCTGGCCTGCATTGGAAATTTGCACGACAGGGTACGTGACTTTGACCAGCCATCTAATCAGTGCATACTAACAATGCAAGGCACAAATCTTATCAACATCTCAGTTGATGGCAAAGCTGCTGTAGCTGAGGACGATGTCGCCTTTGAGAGAAAAGCCTTTGTTGACGGGTTAACCTATCTTCTCAAAGCACTGCCACGGGATCTTGATGAAGGCGAAATGAAACGCATACAATCCGCTTTGCCAGATAATGTCAAGCAACAAGAGTTGAGCCTCATTCAAGCAGAAAGAGACCTAGACCGGACGACGAACAGAACCAGTCAACCTCGTTCTATCATCCATCGAGGAGTTCAGATGACAGTTGTCAATTTGATCTTCTTCCTCAGCTTCCTGATGCCATATCTACTTCTACTAGTCAGGTATGCAGCTCGGGTTGAGCGCAAGTACAAGATCTCCGAGACGATTATAGGACATGGCGTTGATCTAGCCAACTCCATTGGGAAGCAGAGTGCTTCTCTGACTGAAGCAGTCGGTCAAATGAATGACGGCAAAGTTGCGCAGGCTCTGTTGGAAGTCTTTATCTGGACAGTCGACGGTGTCACCCAAGGCATCTCGGACGGTCTTGGGGAGGGTCTCTCAATAGTGGGGTCGAGACAGACACCGGGGCATTGAAGAAACTACTAACTCGAGACCCCTACAAAAAGTGGAATTCACTATAGACTGAGCGGACGGAGTATACTGGCTTACGACTTCTCCTTCTCGTCTTTATTCCCGAAGAAAATAAAGAAGCCGACGAATCAACGATTAAAGGATTGGTTATAGAATTGCATAGAATCAATACATGCCTAGATGAGAATAGACGCGAAGTTACTGCATTTTTCCATAATCGCCCCTCCAAATTCTGAGCCAATGACTTCCGGAGGGACCTCCGGCTGCGCACGTGACAGCGGGAGCTAACTGAGTCAATAATAGCGTCTCTTCAGCCAATTAGCAGATAAGATAACAGGCTGGAAAAATGAAATTTTTCCTCAAAGTTATTGATGCGCGCGACCCTTGATCGCCCACCTTTCATCCGTTCATCCAACCATCCCACCTAATTTTTTATACCCATCCATATTTTTTCTCCTGGTTACTCTCTGTTGACAACTCTTTCAATAGCAGAACAGCAATCTCTGCAGAGGTCATTCTTTAATTAAAATCGGCATCATGTTTCGATCCAGTCTCAGGCGCTGTGCCACTCAGGCCAGGACCGCCACTACGGCTGCCCTCCTCTCTCAGACCCGGGCCGCTCTGCCTGTCGTCCGCAGCCAGGCCTTGACAACCCGTCTCCCAATTGCTTCCATCAACAAGATTGCCTCTTTCCGGGCCTACAGCAGCGAGGCCGCTGCTGAGCAAATAGAACCTGCTACAACAGATGCTGAGCCTGAGGTCCGCTTCGGCGACCTTGAGGGCGTGGACCAAAGCTTGATTCGCACTATCATCCAGAACATGGGATACGAAACCATGACACCCGTTCAAGCAAAGACAATCAAGCCCGCTCTCAAGGGAACTGATATGTAAGTACAATGTTTCCAACACACGACGCAAACACCGACCCTAACACACGACAGCGTTGCTCAAGCCAAGACCGGTACCGGAAAGACTTTGGCCTTCCTTTTGCCTCTTCTTCAAAGAATGATTGTCGAGGACCCATCTCTCGCCGGCAAAAACGCTCGTCGACAAGCCCGATCCGACGACATCCGTGGCATCGTTCTATCGCCTACTCGAGAGCTCGCTGAGCAAATCGCCATGGAGGCTCGCCGACTGTGCCAAAACACTGGACTCGTTGTTCAGTGTGCCGTTGGAGGTACCGATAAGCGTAGTATGCTGAACCAGACTCGCCGACAGGGCTGCCATCTCCTTGTCGCCACTCCCGGTCGTCTCAACGATGTGCTCCAGGACCCTGGCAGTGGCATCGATGCTCCTAACCTGGCTGCTCTGGTTCTCGATGAAGCCGACCGAATGCTCGACACTGGTTTCGAGAGAGAACTCAACGAAATTGTCAACCAACTTCCCCGCCCCGAAGAAAAGGTCCGCCAGACCATGCTCGTTTCTGCCACCATTCCCGACAGTGTCATTCGTCTGGCCCGCTCCATGGTCCGAGCCGATGACTTTGAGTTCGTTCAAACCATCCCTGAGAACGAGTCTCTCACACACGACAAGGTTCCTCAGCACATTGTTCCTGTCAGCAGCTGGACCCAGGTCTTCCCCACACTCTTTGAGCTTATGGATCGTGAGCACAAGAAGTCTCTCGAAGACCCCAATGAGCGTCCCTTCAAGGCCATTGTCTACTTGAACACCACATCACTTGTCGAACTCGGCGGCGAGTTGGGCTTCCAAATGCGACAGAACGCTCGCAACGATAACAAGCCTTTCCTTCCATCCTACGTCCTTCAGTCCAAGATGGGCCAGAACCAGCGCCAGAGAGCTGCAGACAGATTCCGTGAGGCCAAGTCTGGTGTTCTCTACTCTTCAGATGTCACCGCTCGTGGAATGGATTTCCCCGACGTGACACACGTTATTCAGATTGACACTCCCAGAGACCGTGAGTCTTACATTCACCGTCTTGGACGAACCGGTCGACAGAACAAGGAGGGTCAGGGTTGGTTGATTCTCCCTCACTCCTCTGTTCGTGTTGCTCGCAAGATGCTTCAGGGTCTTCCCATCGCACAGAACAACTCCCTTGAGAGTGCCGAGACCGATGTGGAGGCCGGCGAGTCCACTTCTTACCATGAGTCCACCAAGGCCCTCTTCAGTGTCATTCCTCGAGATCTTCTTTCTCAAACATATACCTCCATGTTCGGTCTTGCCACCGATAAGGTGGAAACTGCCGAAGATGTAAACAAGTGGACAAAGCACGGATGGGGTTGGGATACTCCTCCCTATGTTAGCTCCATGTGGGTTAACAAGATGGGCTTGGGACGTGCCACTGGTATGAACGTTAGGGAAAGAGACAGCTTTTCCGAGTCACGAGGTGGTGATCGTGGTGGTGACCGTGGTGGTTTTGGTAATGACCGACGTGGTAGTGCCCGACCTTCACGAAGCAGCGATCCTTTTGACAACATGGCGGCCAACGTTCGCCGTGACGACTTTGGCCGTGGCGGCAACCGAACCGGCGGCTTTGGTGGTGGCGGTTCTCGCGGTTTCGGCGGCCGTAATGACAACGGCTCCCGCGGCCGTGGCGGGTTTTCTTCCCGCAATGGCAGCCGTAATGGCAGCCGTTCCTCGTTCTAAGTTATGAGAGCGGATTAGTGAAAAGGTTAAAATGTAACAACACAAACACGATGGACGGATGCATGATTTGTACTTATATTGGGCACTGGTGTATTTTGGACTGTTGTAAGATACCGGAAAAGGGGTTTGTTTATAGACATGTCTGCAGGCGTCAATCATGTGGTAATCTCCACGACTACTCTACTTAGGAAATGATGATAATCCCTACATCTCCTTCGTTCTCGTGATATTTGAAATTCATGTTCATCACTTCCATGGTCTCTGTTGACAGGATGTACACATTATTATAAGGTCTCGACAATGAAATCAAACCAGTAGTGTTTCTACATCGGCGAGACAAAGACCGAACCATACACGCTTACTCCCAGTAACGCCAATCTAACAAGGCGAATCTTGATGTTATGGTATTCGCTGGCCCATTAGCATGTTGGCATCCCACAATAACACTCTCTCATCCCAGCCAACAGTAGCCACCCATCCACCCATGCCAAAGAGACACCAATCGACTCCCGTAACAAACTCGGTATGTCGGTTCATCACGCCCACCTGAGTACCTATTGATGGTGCCATCACTGGACCCTGTGGTAGTTGTTGCTGCTGCATCGACCCGTCATTCCACAAACGCACCGTCATATCGTAACTAGCACTGATGAGGGTATCGCTCGAATGGGGGCTCCACGCAAGTCGCCGAACAGCATATTCGTGACCCTGCATGACAGAAAGCGGTCCGCCTGCAGGGTTCCGTATGTCAAAAGTCCGTAGAATTCTGTCTACGCCAGCCGTAGCTATGACCGTATCTCTGTACTTGTTCCAATCATGAGTCAGGATCTCGGCTGGCGCAGAAGCACCAGATGACGGCTGCGGTCCTGAAGCATGGACGGGTATCGTCGCTGTGAGGTGGTATTTCGCTGATGATGGTGTTCGGAGATCGAATATGCGTAGGTGGGAGTCGGAGGATACAGCAGATATCAAGGCGGGGTTGGAAGGGCAGAAGGATGTGCTGTAAGTGCAAGTGCCAATGGGAAGCGTCTTTATTGAGTGATTGCGCGTTGGTGACCACTATTGAGCATTAGTGTTCGAACTTTCAACATGAGAAGCGCGGCTCAACGTACGATCTTGACTGTACCGTCCCAGGAACTGGAAATAAAGGTATCTTTAGTTATAGGGTTCCAGCACACCGAGAACGTTTCTCTCTTGTGTTCATGAAAGTTCATAACTGGAAAATCGTTCACGCCCAAATCAAAGAGCTTCAGAGATCCATCGCCGCAAGCGACAATCAGCTGGTTCTCGTTGATCTCGGACCAGGCCAAGTCGTAAAGCGCATCGTTTGTATCGAACCTGCAGTACAACCAAATCAGTATCTACGCAGGTAACCAACATCCAGAATATTGCCTACGTCTTCTCAACTTCAACACCTTGCGCCGTCAATGCGAGAGCGAACACACGGCCATTGCCTACAATGCCAAAATTGGACGACGCCGCAACGGCGATTCGCGAGTCGTAGTATGGGGAGTACTTAACGGCATAGGGATTATACCCTTGCGTTCGGTATTCTAGCATCGCAGCCATGGCGCCGGAGGAAGCGTGCTGTTAAAGTACAGTCGCACTTATCATCAGTTGTATTATGGCTGAGCAAAGCTACAGTAGACAATTGCTTGCCTGGATCAATGAGCTTCCCCTCGAAGCTATACTGACATGTGCCTCGGTTGCGGTAATCACACCGAGGCGGCGGGGCAGAAAGAGTGTATGTGTCTAACCAGGTTCTGCGTCATGGCCGGGTTTATGTACTAATCGAATCTGCTAAATAGCTGTCACGTGCTTACGTGTTCCAGATTTTTAGAAACGTCGCGTTGTACAGACACTGCTAGGCCTTTCTATCAAACCACAGGATGCCGGGTACGTGACAAGTATTCATTGTCAGAGGGGATCGCACATGACCTTTCAACCATTGCAGGCTCGTGATTGAGACTATGAAGGCCTTTTTGACTCGCACAAAACGGAAAGCATCTCCAGGACCGCAAACAGAGAACGCGGAGCCAGAAGAGCCAACCGAAGTCAAATTAGCATTGCTATCGTCGTTACACCCACAGCTCGACCAAGAATACTTGCTCGATATCTTACTGGCCCATGATGGATCCGTATCTGAAGCCGCCACATCTCTCAAAATTCAGAAACCCATGAAGAAGGGTCCCCGCGTTGTTGGACATCAGCAATCCTTAAAACAATTTACTTCCACAAGTGATTCTAGTTCCTTGAATAGTACACCTAAAAAGAAGCTCAAGTCGAAAGCGGGGAGTACACTGCATCTGTACGACCCTGAAGACATTGCTGAGCATACCCCATGTACCATCATTCACAATTTCTTACACCCTGAGGATGCCAATCGGTTGCTAGAAGAGCTATTAGAGGAATCAAAAACTTTCGAAAAGATCACATTCCAGCTATTTGAGAACGCGGTTTCTAGCCCTCATACATCTAGCTTCTACGTCGAAAGCTACGACGAGATACAACGCCAGAAAACGGAGTATCACTATAACGGCGGTCGACTCACGGTAAATATTCAAATAGTAGATTTGCTGTACAGCATTTGATTAACCAAATCCAGGATGTTCGGCGTATCACACCTCAGCTCGTCAGCGTGAAACCAAAAGTTCAGGAAGCCGTCAACGCCGAGATTCAGAAACGAATCAAGACTCGATATCCTGGGGGCAAGAAGTTGAAATATCAATCTCCAAACCCTTGGGTTCCGAACTCGGCATTTGTCAACGCCTACACAGGCCCGCAGCAAAATGTCGGCTGGCATAGTGATCATTTAACGTACCTCGGACCAAGAGCGGTCATTGGGTCCATCTCCCTGGGCGTCGCTCGCGAATTCCGTGTTAGAAGGATACTTCCCAAGGATGGCGACAGCAAAACGGCCCAGGACCGAGATGCGGAGGGACAAATATCGATCCATCTTCCTCATAACTCACTCTTGGTAATGCATGCTGAGATGCAAGAGGAATGGAAGCACAGCATTGCACCAGCGTTATCGATCGATTCTCATCCCATTTCAGGGACAACCCGTATCAACATTACATACCGAGACTATCGCGCCAATATGCACCCAAAGCTCACCCCTAAATGCCGGTGTGGGCTGCCATGCGTGCTTAGGGTAGTGACAAAGAAGAAAGATAATTTTGGGAGATACTTTTGGATGTGCTATGCCAATTCTCCGGGACAAGAGAATTGTGGTTTCTTTCAGTGGGCTGAGTTTGACGAAGATGGGAACCCCCAGTTCAAGAAGTAGTTGGGTACAACATAACAATAGATAATGAATCTATCAGAAACAATGGCCGTGAATGCTGTCAGCCCCTGCAGCTGGTGTGTACAGAAACAATCCCGAGGTGGAAGTTGGTCAGGTTACCTAAGGCACGACAACCCCAGAAAAACTGTCCACTCTACCTTAATCCTGAAGTAACATTATCGCATGTTGCATGCAGTTGCGCAATAAATACTTTATTTGCAGGCATCATCTTGAGATCGGAGGTCTTTGCTGAGACGAGGACAAGCTTGACTTGGTTGTTGGCTAGGCCCGCGTCAGACAGACATGTTAATACCAGGAAATCAAAGCAAATCAGGCAAGAGCCTGAGTATTATAGAGGCGATATCCTATTTTGGTGTTTGTTCAGCCCAATAATAGCGTTGCCTCGGTGCATGTCAACACCCATGGCAGACTACAAGGGGCATTTTTCTTTGCTGGACTACCTTGGAACCACATTATACATTATAAAGGGGGGTTGTTTGAATTTATCAATACAAATAATCGACCATTCGAAATGGCTGCGTCTCCATTTTGCCAGCGGATGCAGACTCAGTCCCCTTATGAAGTTCACAAGTAACCACCTGCTTGGCTTGTCTGGAATACATGGGAAGATCTCGCCATTATACTGTCTGAATGCAAAAAGCTGATAGCACAAGTAAAGAGGATTTTCATGTAGTTCCCTTGGGAATATCCGCCAGTTTGTTGTTAGGATACACATGTTACACGGATTCCTTTTATCCCTAGGATCAATCCCCGTCTACTCGCACATTCGGCAACAAAACAACTTGTAAACACACATTGATCTGAGAGATCAGACCCAAGGACTCGGTTCAATTGTCTTAGATGATTAATGCTTACCCCATTCATGTGACTTGGTGAGCCTAGTATTTAGGTCCTAGGATCCATTTATAGCGCTTTCGGCTATTTATAGCCTCGTATGCAGTCGGGAACTTTGAAGGTCTATCATAGTTTTGAAATCTTTACCGTTGGAAATTGGTTGAGGGAAGGGAGGTTTTGGGTATATAATGAGGGTGATATCAGAATATGTTTGTTCAAAGGCATGGGCCAACCGAGTCGTATCTACTCCACAAACCGTAGTACTTTATCAACACGAGAATTTAATGGTAAATCATCTTGTCGTTTGATTGTTCTGAACCCAGAAATCTGTATGCATATAATCAACTCCCCAATTTCCAAAGTTCTATTACAGATTGTTGGCTGATAGCTGCTCAAGTGCATACCCATTAGAGGTAAGTATAAAAACATCTGCAATAATACGGGCTGTTTCCTCATTGCAGTCAACGATCTCCTTATGTTTTATACATGATATAATTACGTTAAAAGATCTCGACCGACAGAAAAAGTATTGAAGAAGATGTTTCCTTCCCGCCCGTCTGCCTAGACGCATGTGGGTCGTTCCTGCCGCTGTCAGATCAGATACCCGCCCGTCTGTCCCTCAATCAGCCACTTGTATCTCAGGAGTGTCATCATCCTTCCCATCAGGAAAGTCAATTTCAACTTCATCTCAATCACAACTCATCATAGCCCTATTTGTTTATGTAAGTACCTGATTAAGTCGACAAAAACCTGCAGAGCAAGCTTCAACGATTTGCGTACTCAACTGAGAGGAACTACAGAGCCTGACGTCATTAAATACGACTCCAAGTCTCTTCCGAAGAAGAATCAACACCATGTCGGAGCTTAGCTTTCCTGCGTCCTCGGCAGCCATGCTTGAGCCGAGGCTGCCGCCATCGACAACAAATGAAGCGTTATTACGACCTTTTGTGACTCTCACTTTCGCTACTTCGTTGGATTCATCGCTCTCCCTGGCACCGGGTGTCCGCACTCGACTCTCTGGACCTGACTCCAAAGCTATGACGCACTACCTTCGCTCGCGTCATGATGCCATTCTTATTGGCGTATCTACTCTTCTGGCAGACTCTCCAGCTCTCAATTGCCGCATCAGCGGTGCTACGAGTCAACCACGTCCCATTATTATTGACCCTCATCTTCGTTGGACTCCTAGTCACACGGAAAAAGTCCTAGAGGTTGCACGTCTCGGGAATGGCTTGGCCCCTTTTGTTTTGACTGGAATGGATACCCAGGATATACCTGCCACGAGTCTTTCAATTCTCGAAGAGCACGGTGGCAAGTACATCTACGTCCCTACCACACTTGGATCCAATGGCCGTAAGCGCTTCGATTGGCGCGACGTCTTTGACGCATTACTCCGCGAGGATCTTTCCAGTGTTATGGTTGAGGGAGGAGGCCAAATCATTAACTCCTTACTTGATCCTCGGTTTCACAATGCTATCGACTCTGTGATCGTTACTATTGCACCGACTTGGCTTGGTCAAGGAGGAGTACTGGTTTCTCCAGACCGTCTCCAAGATTTGACTGGCACTCCTATCCCTGTGGCGAGACTATCCAATGTTTCATGGCATCCTTTTGGGGAAGACGTTGTCTTGTGTGGCACTCTGAACAACTAGCGTCTGAAGCTGGTCTGTAAACACAGTTTCATCTCTTCCATTACTGCTCGTGCCTTCTGGCTATCGTCCCCATCACCTTTTATCTGGTTCGGTCCCTCACGTTTCTAAGCATACTTTCAAGCTCCATATGGATTTCGCCTCTCTCGTTATCACCATCTATCACAATTGTGTCGTTCCTTGTCTTATCCATGATAGTGAGATATCGGGAAACCCATGAATCTCCTTTGATTTCAAGACCATGTCATCAGCCAGTGGCCATGCTGACACGGGCATATCAAACACGACCCATCAGCCTGATTTCTAAAGTTCGAAGAGGATAATAAGCAATCCCAGTGACTACTAAAGCCGATTCGAAGCCAATATCGCCAATTTTTGCCCCTATAGGCCCAGTGAACCACGGTGTATTCATCGAAGGAATAACCAACTCAAGGCTGATTATTGATGTACCAATAGCTGCCAGCCCAGTGGGAAGTCTTCGCCCTTGGTTCCATATTTTGGGGTCGAGCAAGTCGTAGTCTCTGTTTCGAAATATTACGAGCTCCTCGATGATTACAGCGTCGAAGCACCCAGACCAGTAACCGATGATGGACAGAAAGTTCACCAAAGACTTTTCCCATTGTGCTGCCGCATAAATTGACATTGGGACCATGATGGTCAATGTGGCGATAACAAAGACAAATCGTGGCACTTTGGTGAAAACAGGAACGAGCATCTGTAAACACAAAGCGACCGAATAGTAGGACAGCAGCATGTTTCCCACGATACTCAAGGCGAGTACGACAAGAACGGATTTACCGAACCCACCAGCTGGCTTAAGCATTTCATCCATAACTCTACCTATTCCATAGTCATTCCAGGCTATTTGCCATGACTCGACGTTTGGGATGGCACCTCCAATAGCAGCCCCGAGGATGAGCAGAGGCGTCGAGGGGACTAAGAAGCCCAGATACACACAGGCGAATACTTTGCGCCTACCATACTGTTAGCCTACTTTGCCACTTCTATAGCGGAGTCAGAACTGTTTACTTGGATTCTTCAGGGCTGTGATATACAGTGAAATCAGAGACAGTCCCTCCGAAGGTCATAAAATACCCTGCCATCAGACTCCCATACCCAACAACATTCTTGACAGTTGCTGATTCATGGTCAGCCTGATGCACCAGGTGTTTTCCACTACAGCCAACAGCAATAACTATTGCGATCAGGCTTGGCAGCCACTGCCACCGTTGCCACAGATGGAGCGCCCTATAGCCCAGGAATGCTAACAAGAAGCTGAGGATGCAGACGATACCGATGCCCACGTTGATGCTGATGTTCGCTTCTTTATTTACAGCAGCAATAGCTTGCCCACTTACGATTGATCCCACAACCGTGAACCCGGTTACTGTGCCAGCATTAAGAAGGAGCGGAATGATGACGAGATATAGCCTACAGGTCTCAAAAACTCGCAGCGTCAGTATTGTCCTTCCAACGAATATCAGCTTTGAGACTCACCCAAAGGAATATCGGGCTTGCACCATCTGGCGCATTCCTGTCTTATATCCTCCTATACCCATGAAAGCCGGCGGTAAGCAAGTCACTATGTTGAAGAAGATGATGATCAATGAAACATCTCGTAGACCCAGACCGTACAGGACCGTGCCGAGTGCCCCAGTAGGGATACTTCCTAATGTCAGTTTCTAAACACAGGCTTCGCATTTCAATGACAACTAACGGCAGGATGCACAGCAGGCAGGTAAAGAAGACTGTGAAGAGGTTGCTGTGTTGTGTCTCTGTTCTTTCCTCTGGGGGAACCGGTCGAATACCATTCTGCTCCACGCCTGCTTGAAGCAATAGCTTATACCATTTCGAAAGGGGACGAGTAACTCGGTTCGAAGAGGACCAAGCACCAAGCGTGTTCCTTTCTTCATCAACTGCTATCATATCGATCGGTACATCGCATTCGCAGTTGGCTTCTGGATCCTTGTGTGCCATCATTCCATTATCTAGTCAGTGATTTGCGGCTGGGGTATGGGGCGAAAAAGGTTGAGAGTCGCTGGGGCTCGCAAGAACGGGTTCCCTGTGACCTTTAAATGGAGTCAGCCAAAATATGCCCTTTCAGTGATCCTCTTTTCTGCAGTTCCTCACTCTACAGTCGTTGCGCTGCAGACTTGCCGAATCACTAACAAACTTTACAGCTCAACCCTATCCCTTAGGACTCTACGTTATAGCATACAGCCAATGTGCCAAGGCCAACCGTATTCTGTTAGGGCCTAGATACGAGTTTCAATTCACACTTTTGACTGACAGCTCAGGTCTTGTTTCGAACGCTGATGTCTCGGAGATAACAACGACGGGCCAGTCCCATACAACGAGGTAACCCTAAAACGCAACAAGACTAGTTCTGGAAGTATATTGGGACCAACGTCTATGATCTTCCAGCTCATCAGTAGCTTTGGGTGGTTGTTCATGGATGATCGCCCGATAAGACATGGCTGATGCACGCCCACACGTGCATCAAAAACAGTAAAAATGATCTTCAACGTAGTATCCTGCACAACAACACATACACGCGCCAATACGTTCCTGATTACCCCCGGGCAATCATCACTTGGGCGTAGACGGCGGTGGTACGGCCCGCCAAGGCCAAGCGACACATGCTTGGCGAGGCATTGTGGATGTGCAAAAACTCTGGTACCAAATGCTCTCTAGGGCATCCAAGAACAGAAAGCACATCGTGATCTATTACTTTTGTGGGAACGTGCTATACTGCGTGTGTTAAACCTAGTAGGTGTCTGGGTCATCAGTTTCTTTGAGCGAGTCAAGCCAAGCCTGATGTATAGTACTGCTAATTGGTATTATAGTATATTGTGATACCCACCACCTAAAATTGCAACTGACATGCTCCATGACAGAAATGATCCATTTTAGTCATGATGGCTCAGGCCAGCCCAGTTGTAGTCGTTAACTTGGCCTGACTCGAGTGCAGCAAGACAAGCTTTTGTCCTTACCCGCCACCCATTACATTATCCCAACCACGCACGTGAAAGAAAAAAAGATGTTGATAGATCTGGACATACAGCTGGGCTATCTGCCCTGTGAGCTGAGTCTCCAAAAGAGGGTATAGACCGGGTACCGTTTAAGTCCTTGATGTTGCAGGATCCTGTTGCTGGACGTCGGGCCGATGGAAGGATGAAGGCACGTATTCATTTGACATAAAATTCATTGGATGAGATTCGATGGGCTGGCTCGTCAACGCCATGACTTTCGCCTGCATGCGCTCAATCACTAGCACCAACGGCTTCTATTGGGGGTTACAAACAGTAGCTGGATGCCATAGACGCCAAGTTAATCACAGCAATACGACTGGGTAACTCAGTAGAGTACTATGTAGAATAACGATATCAGATAATGGCTTATATTTGGGGGAAAACCTTGAAGTTAAAATTGACGGAATCCCTGCTTGACAGGCCCTGGATTTGCAGAAAGGAACTAGTATGCCCTGAGTTGCAATGGGGGAAAAAATCCGACGTGTGATTACGAAAATCGCATCATCTCCTACATATTCACATATTCACATATTCACAGTCCTCAAGGGTCACATCGTCTTATCCCGTATTCTGAAGGGGGTGTCTTGCCACGATAGAATTAGGGAGGACAATGTAAGAAAGAAGTAAAAAAAAAATAGTTTACAGACGTTTATAGTATGTACCCTTGGGCTGGGGGATGCAATAAGCAATGACTTATGGTGGCGCTTGGCTGTAATAAGTTAGAGGTTTTGTCAGGTCTAGAGGCGCCGGCACATGACTGACAAGGTTCATCAGCTCATTGGGAAAATTGTTGTGAGTGTCCTTCTTTTAGTGCAAAAGCACTGCATTGCAAGGATGGTTCTGCCACTGGTCTCAGCTAGCGTTGATGAGTGCCGTAGCCGCCGAATTTCGCGGCCTGATGTCACAATCGAAGTGCTCTGGGTGACTGTTGTAAAGATTGTCAGTAACCTCATCAGCCAGCCCGTTTCATGTAGCAAAGACAAGGGTCCAGGTATTACTGCGAGTATCAAGGGACTGTGGGGCCCAGATAGAAGCAGGGATCAATGAGCTGCGGGGAGGGATTGCCTGACCAGGTTCCACCATTGGTGAATCGTACTCGAGGCTCAATTGGTCTTCCGTCCTGGGCCACCTGTTTGCAGAAATTCAAAGTGGACAGCATTGTTGCTACCATGACCCAGACACTGTTGTCCGCTAGAAACCGACCGACGCAAATCCTATAAGCTATCGTCAGAAACCGTGGCTCGAGTTGAGGCAGCACTGGTCTGCTACGTACCGACGCCCAAACCCGAAATTGCCAACGGGATATGGCTCTCCCGCGCTGTACCTGTCAGGGTTGAAGTCGTGAGGAGCTTTGTAGACTCGCTCATCATGTGCTATAGCATAAGAATTTGCATAAACAACAGTTCTATAGCCTGTCAGCATTTCCACTTCGTCGTCATGATGCCGATAATATCAAAGAAAATGATCGCACCCTATGGGCTGTTAGCTGACTGTGTGTATACAACATGAACATTGTGTGTATTTTGCCACTATACCTTTAGGAATAAACATGCCCTGGTAGACATCATCGTGAAGCGATTTGTGGGGGATCCCTACGGCGTGTTAGAAGTTGGCACGGTCCCTACTCCCATGCCAATACTAGATGGGAAATACTGACCAAGAGGAGCCAACGGTGACCATCTTTCCAAGTGTACTCATTGTCAGCATGCGGTATACTATTTTGAGAGTATATTTGTCAATCGGAGTGTACCTGTAAATCTCCTGCACAATATGCTCGATGTATGGTAAATAGGATCGGTCTGAGAACTCGGGTAGCTTCCCGGGTCCTATTACCGCATCAAGCTCGTCTTGTGCCTTCTTTTGTATCTCGGGGTGGAGAACCATGTTTAGAACAAAGATAACACAAGTTGCCCATGTCTATGAGTCGAGTTTTCAGTTTTTGAAATCAAGTGTTGTAATGAAGTAAACTCACGGTGTCGGCGCCTGCGATGAAAACTGCGCCTGCAGCCCCTTTGATATCATCCAGCGACCACTTTTGGTTCTTGCCCTGTGATTGATTATACTCATACGACCGCAGTAGCTGATGTGCAAGAGATGTGTTGGCAGAAAACTCATCATTACATAACGGTAGAGAAGTTAGTGTTTTGGTTAGGTGTGTATGGTATGCAGAGCGGTTTGTCCACTTAAGATCAACTCACACGCTCGGCTTGTGCGGCAGCGAAGGGTACTTCGTGTAGTTTCGTGATAGCCCATCGCCATTGTCGAGCAAATCGTAAAGACCAGTCATTGACAAGCCAATCTGGGAGATAACGAACTGGGTTCGGCCTGTTAGCAAGCATACATACTTTGGACCCCTGCTAGGTAAGTTGTACTCTTACTAAAGGGAACTAGATCAACAACACTATTTGCAGGAACTCCACCATTGCCGGTAGCATACATGGCATCGTTAGCAATTCGGATATAGGGGTCATCGTCGCTCGATACTTCCGTGCCATAGCTCACTTGCAAAACAATGGCCACTGCAAATCGGCGCAAAGATGTTTCCCATGTGCCGGGCCTTGTCATGATGGCTTTTACCGTACGGTGGGCCTCATCCCTTTGCAAGTTGTAAAATTGACGGGAATTGGTGTTGCTAAAAGTCGTCTGGAGGAGCTTTCTGTGCATTTGCCAGCTTTTTCCAAATGGCAGAAAAGTCAACGTCTTTCCCCATCCCATCCTGCGAGAGGGCCGAAATACTTAGTACAATTAAGTGAGGGGCGGGGATTAGGACTTACACTTCTAATAAGGTGAACCTAGGCCGGTCACAGAAATTGGCGCCTTTCTTCTCAAGGATGTCCTTGGCAACCTCTGCGCTATGAAGAACAATGGTAGACCGACCTAAAGACCTGACATGAATGATGTCCGAGTCTTTCGAAGCCAAAGTCAGAGGTCGGTTATCAAGCTTTTGGAAAGCAAACTCACTGTATTCTTTGGACCATCTCGAGTAAACCTTGGCAGCGTTTTCCTTAGGTATGACACGGGTATGGCCGAGAAGGAATTCAGACGGTGGCCCGGGTGGCAGTGGTAGTGTAGGTTGAAAATGCTTGTGGGCCCAGAAGATTAACAAGCCCGTGAGGAAAAGAGCTGGCCCGAGCATATGGGCAAATGAGTAGTGTTCTATCATAACAGGCAGGAGCTCCCCAAGGGCGAGTCAGTCAGGCGGGTGGGCAGGTAGGCAGGCAGGTTCTTGTTGAAATTGAAACACATCCATGGGGCGCTGTGCAAGGCAGGAGCGATAGATATAATCCCAAGAGGGAGAGCGCAAGTGCTTGGCTACACATATTGGGTATCCATACCTGTTGCTCCAGTGAAACGTTCACGCATGGATGGGAAGAAGCACCCTTTCCTATCAGGAAGGCTAAGTTTCAATATTATTGTGGTGAAATAGCGCCGTCGCCAGTAAGAAGTGACTAGAAGCGCCCACGCAAATCATGTAGCGAATACCAAACTACTCAGGCACCTACAATAGAAGTCATTCTCGTCTTATTTCCACAGCCCTACGCATTTAAATCATAAAGTGGTACGGTTTGTGGATAGCCAAGATTGGATTGTCACATATGTCGGTCTCATCACAACACCACCATATCCTTACCATGCTGCATAGTACAGTGTAATGCACTTTGACACGATTGATTGGGTGAAATGGTTCCCTACCGATGTCTAAAGACTCGGTTCCATCCCTTTGGGCCCAACCCCTAACTCAGCAGGTTGACAATTTGAGCCTCGACTTGTCGGGGTCAAAGCACAAGCTCCCATCTTGGGTAGTTATTGGGAGACGCTATCCAAAATGGCTTTCCTAAGCATATATCCACTGATCTTGGTTGGTCAGTTAAAGTCAGAGGGGTTGGCAAGTATCTGTAGTTTGGTCTAGCTTCATAGGTGCCTCACTACCTACTACCAAACTAAATCTTAGTTGCCGCATTTACCTACTGTCGGTCATGCACAAGGGGCCGTTGCCTCACTGATTGATTGTTAGTGAGCTCTAATTTATGTCGGCTAAACGGCCTGAGATGGAGCAATATGCGCTCTTACTCTCGGTACCGAGACTAAGATATTGTAGACCGGCACTTGTGCATCGATGTCTGGGTCTACCATTGGCCCGTTAGTCTTATAAATAACGTGGGAAGGTGTTCAACCATAACATGTTGCTTACCTGGTAGTTTGCAACATTCTTGAATTATAAAAGCTTTAATGCACTCAAGGTTTATAAACGATAAAAATAAAATAAGAAAGAAAAGAGAATAATAACAATGTGATAGTAGAGTATTAGAATAGCTCACACTAGTACATAGGTAGGTACTACTTGCGCAGTAGAATTCTGGCAAAATGGAACTTTCCGTCCCCACAACCAACGTGGCTGGTTCACTCTTTTCACCTGGGGCAGGTGGGGAGCATTTGCACATGACTCGGTTCCTGACGACAAGTCATGAACTCATCAATCAATATCCATTCAAGCAAAAGCACCATCCACAATACCGACTCGACTCAACTCAACTCGGTTAGATACGCTCAGAGAAGCATTTAGTTTCTTTTGCGAGTCTGTTTTCGTGTTTTCGGCCTGTTAGCATACTACCGAGGTTACCTTGTTCACTCACCTCTACTTTTACGTGACGCTTCACTAACAGCGTCTCCTCTCCCATCAACTTTGTTGTTCTGCAAAACACCGTCACTCGGGCTTTCTCACTCATTTGACCGCTGCAAACCGTCTCGAACCCTCTTTGCCACCGTTCATTATGGCTTCCCACGCTAGCGCTCCGCAGATTACGGTCCTGGGTTCTCTCAATATGGATCTCGTCTCCTATGTCCCACACCATCCCCTACCCGGTGAAACACTCACTTCATCCCATTTCAACACTTCGCCCGGCGGCAAAGGCGCCAACCAGGCTGTAGCATGCGGCAAGCTGTCCCGGGATTCTGACCTGACCAGCCCTTCAGCCAACGTCTCCATGGTGGGCGCCGTTGGTGCTGATCCCTACGGAACTCTCCTCCTTGACAGTCTTCGCTCTTTTGGCGTTTCTGTTGACGCGGTTAGTGCTCGTCAGGACCAGAAATCCGGGATCGCCATCATTATTGTCGATGAGCCCTCGGGCCAGAACCGTATTATTGTGTCTCCTGAGGCCAACCACTCTCTGAGGCCAACTGAGTTCGAGACTCTTCCAGGCCCTCGCCCTGACCTTCTCATAATGCAACTCGAAATCCCCTTCGACACTGTAATGAAGGCTTTGAAGGTTGCTAAGAGAGATGGCGTCCCCGTGCTTCTCAATCCAGCTCCCGCTCAGGCCTTGCCCATGGATGCTTATGACGGGCTTGCCCACCTTGTTGTTAACGAGACTGAAGCGGCGATTCTTGCAGAGTGTGATGAGTCTGAACTTGATGCTCTTATCGGCTTGGACCGTATTGGCCGAGTCTTTATTGACCGTGGAGTCCACAACGTCATCATCACTCTGGGAGGTCGCGGCGTCTACTTTGCTAACAAGCAAGGCCAGAGTGCATTGCTCCCTGCCACCAAGACAACCGTGGTGGACACCACAGCCGCCGGCGACACCTTTGTTGGTTCTTACTCTTTGGCCGTTGTCGCTGCTAGGGGCGGCCAATTTGACATTGAAGCTGCTGTCACCGCGGCTAATCGAGCAGCTGCCTTGACTGTTGCGCGCAAGGGCGCTCAAATCTCTATTCCCTGGAAGGATGAACTATAGTCAAGGTAGCAACAGCTTTTCTTTCGTAGAAGAACCAACAAAAACATTCGAATCCCACTGGGTATACGGAAACTGCCTACTCCGTTCACTCTCTAGACTAAAACCACGTCGCCCATCCCCATTTGCCTGTGTCCTTTTTGCCTCTGTCATGGGCTGGAGATACCGTTCGGAGTCCATTTTCGCCCTCTGGCCGTCCGGTTGTCTCCCGATTTCGAGCCGGTATCGATAGGACCGCCATCGACGGGAATAATCCCCTCAGAGTTTCGGCCCCTAGTGAACGCCCCTTCCATAACGTGCTGCTGTCGGATTTACCTGAAGAACTCCTTTGTCCTCTGGGAACGGAAATATCAGGTTCCCCACGTGAGAAATCTGCTTCCCCTGATTGCGTGGAGGCTGAACTGCCTGCCCCCATGTCCCTGTTAGTGTGAGCCCTCAAAGCCAGCGGGGCCTCTGGGCTCTTCTTCGCTATACAAGTTGACGCTGAACTGCCGCATCTGGATAAATCCTCTCTTATTGCCTGTCGTGAGCGGGTACGAGGCAACGGTGCTATGTGATCAGGCCCGGCATTATCGCAGCGTTGCTGGAGACTCGCGTTTCTCAAAGGGATCAAAGGAGTGTATCCGTCATCCAAAGGCGTCTGTACTCCCGCCCTTGTCGCCTCACTTTCTGGCTGGTTTTTGGTTAGCCGATGCCTTCATTTGAACGGACATAGCTTACAGTAGCCATCCGCCTCAACACCTCCCTCGCGTTCGTGGCACCCTAGTGTCTCTCGATCAGAGGAAGCAATGGATTGGACTTCAACACCGGCGCAGGGGACCAAAGCGACATGGCATTGTGTAATTTTACAGAGGCCGTGGCCGCTGTCTCGATCTTGCTTTTTGTAGTGAACATCTTGTCGCTCGCATTGCCAACATCCTGCCATTCGGGAAATGCTGAAGGGCGATATGACAATCGCACTGTCATATAGTTTATAGTAGAGTCACCAAGCTCTTGTTCGAGTGCCTCTATCAGGTTGTCTATCTCTTTCTGTGGGCATTCTTGTCTTTCTTCTTGCATATCCTTGACAACATGGACTCTTACTTTAACCAGAAGACAGATACTGGGACCAGGGTCGAGGCGATCGCTGTTGACTGGTCAGCTAGCGTTCTGTACAGTCCGATACCCCTTCTAATGTGCACCTACAGGGGAAAAGGCTGCTCCTGCAGGATGCGAATGATCGACGATTTTTCTGTTGGTAGGATACGGACGTTCAAATCACGAAGGCCATTGGTCTCGGATTGGTTCTCAGCTACATTCGCTGTAAGTATTGGTCCGTAAAGGGGCTTTTTTTTTTTTTTTGCACCTACACTCCAAGTTTTCTTGAGTTAGACCAGCCAGATCCATGAATAGATCGGGCCGCTCCTAACAGGCCTCTGGCTGGATGTTGTTCTCCGGTATACACCAAGGAGTGGCAGATATTTCAATAGCTACCCAAAAGATATTATGCCCCGCCTCAATAACAGTTACCTCCGGTGTAATGCTAATTTTTGGTGCCAGGCAAGACACTGTCCTCTGACGTGGTAAGGTGGTGAGACTTTTGATCGGCGGTAGTTGCAGATTGTTGTCGGGTGGCAAAGGATACCCAGTCCAGCCTGTTGCATGAAAATTAAGCGGTGACTCTTGTCTGTACATAGAGTCTCTGTCGTATAGGTTGGTCAAAGGGGAATGGATCTTTCCAGGACGCCGCATCTCATATGCCGCCGGCAGAGTATTGACTGAGAAGGGGGATAGCGAGCGGTTCTGGTCGGGCTGTACCCTTGCATGTGTGTGTGCTTGTCTTTTCTTCTTGACCGATAGCTGTGGCAAAGGCATGACTCCCAAAAGTCGAGGTGGGCTATCGTGTTGTGCCCAATGCCCGGGTGCATACATGTTTCGTCTGCTTCGAGTGCTGAGCGTCTGGTTGTGCTGAAATGTCCTCACGTTCTCTTTCCCTGATTGCGTTTCAACCTTTCGTCTCTTGGGGACTGTGAGCAAGTCATCTTCCTGAAAGCTTTTGCTATGCTTCACGCTATTGTCCTTGTATCGATTCTCTAAATATCGGGTATCTTTTTGGAAGTTCTCATTGTATGTCGCAACTCTTAATGGACTCGGCTTTTCGTCGACAATTGCACGCTCACAGGCATCAAGATCTGCCCAAAAAGGGGTTTCGTAGCCTAGGCTCGTCATCGCAGAGTGCACGAAGGCGGTTTATCTCGGGTAGTGTTGGCGACAGTAACAAAAGATTGTGTTTTGGGCAAAAGAAAACTGATATATCTATCTGCTTCAAGTCGGTTCGCAAGAATGATTCAGAACAGTTGAGAAATTGAGATACAAAACTGGCCTACTTTATTCATACAATAAAGAGGAAGATGTTATTGAAAGGCAAACATTCTTTCACGGCAACTCTACTAAAGCAGACAAAGGTAATATTTCACGGGTATCAGAGTTGCTCTTGCGATTTTAGAAAACATGGAAACAACCTAAGAAGTCGCGGCGGTTTATTCTTACCATTCTTGCCCTGTTTTACAAAGAATAAATACTATCAAAAGGCAACAACCACCATCCCAACCAAGCTTGATCCCCGAAGAAGGCGAAGAGTCACTTGCTTGTGAAGAAAGAAAAGGTGACCGCCACACAAATGCATCAAAAGGTATCAGGATAGGTAGGCAGCTGTTCTATGATTCTCGCTCCAGAGCTATGTCTGGCCAAGTGTCCGTCGAAGATTATCCTTTACCGAATCAATGTCGTTATCTTCCATCTCAAGGAATTTGATCTATACGATTTAGCAAAACTTCATCATCTCACCACCAAATCAACAGAGAAAACTTACTAGGTCGTCAGATGTTTTCGTCTCGCCGTACAGGACGGGTTCTGATAAGCTGGATGAAACGTTCTTCTTGACTCTGTCCTCCCATACGCCATCCCAATTCCATTCTCCGGGTTGTCTGGGTGTCGCTGTGGATGTAGGTTTCGCACTCTCTGTAGGTTGTTGGTCGTTCTCTTCACTCTTTTGTTCTTCCTCGGTCGCTTCATCCTCTACAAGCTTCCCTATCGCCTTTCGGTGCGTCCTCCATGCATGCCATGCTCCTGGATTTCCGGCTGCTGTGAGGGGCACCGAGTCAAGGACTGCTTCGTCGTCGAACGCACTGCGGATGTAGTGTAGAACCTCGTAAGCCGAAACACTTTTTTGACCAGTGCGCGTGTATGAAGGAACTGTTGCTACTGCTGGTGTTGTAGAAGTGCTAGCAGCAACAGCATCGGAACTCGTCAATCGTTGTTGATCTATCTGCTTCGCCTCTGCCATGCTCCGTCTGCCCCTTCCAAACCAGTCTGGGAAACCATGGCGCAAGCTGAATCCGCCCGGCGGTAGTCGCTCCTGGTCTGATGCGCTCACAGTACCACTTTCTTGTATGTCGGTTGTGTACATGTATGTTGTTAGAGGCGTGATGAGGGGATGGAACATGTCTGTCGTAAAGACAACCACGGGCGGAAGCTGAGGATACGAATCGGGGAAGGATATTTGGAATCGGAGTATAGCAGGACAGTAGGGGCCTATCATGAGTAGTCAATATCGCAAGATCAGCATCGCTATTAGATCTATGATTACCTTTGCGAACAAAGAGCACGCCAGACCAGAGCGTGGCATCTCCTGGGGTGAGGCTAACGAATATCCCTTCTGGACAAGCCTGCTTGAGTCCAGCGCTGTATTTTTTTTGTTAGCTAGGTCCATCACGCAAGTGTTAATCGGACAAACAATTCTGAGAGGAGTTGCTGTCTGCGCAGCGAAGGCAATGCGCTCATATTGAAAGGCGACATTGTGGATTCGGTCGCGGTCGGTTATCAAATTGTAAGGTTCTGTAGGCGTGCAGGAGTTTGAATGTTCAGAAGACAACACAAAGCATTGTTGAGATTGTAAGGTTGGCGTTGGTTAAAATGGTGGTATTGCGCCAGCTCAGGAGCTATGATTTGCGATCTGGCAGGCGGTGAAGCCTGTAAGACAGCCGACAGCGGGGTACTCATGTTGGTTGAAGTCATGAGGAACTGCGACGAGGCGTACAACTATGAAAGGTGTTATGATATATATTCGAAGCTAATTTAATAACATTCATTCTCCGCTAGGTCACGCCCAACGATAAACCTGTTGCAAATTGTATCATGACAGCTCCGCACAAGTTATGTCATGACACCACTTTTGGAGATATTACCCTATACTCCATCGATTCTGCCGAAGGAATATCTGCTAGGTAGTTAGCTGGATCAATGGCGGGGTCATACCAGAGGGGTACCATTGCTTCGAGATTATACTCATGCCAAAAGAGATCTTTGTCTATTCAAATCTATCTCTACAGGGTACTGCATCTCTTCTGGACTCGTAATCATGAATTATAGCATAATGTTAGCTTTAGAAAAAGCTGCAAAGATGCTACCCGTGTGTGGTCTAGGTATTCCCTAGACAAGTATTCCACCATACAAAACTTTTGTTATCCTTCCCTCGTGCATCCCAGCTTTTTGTGATATCTCCCTAGCCTAGCAAGCAAAAAATAAAAATGAAAGAGAAGAAGATGAGGCTCTATCGTCCAAGGCGCTTCTCGATCTTAGACTTCTCCTGTTCACGGATAGTCGCAACATCGTCTCTTGTAGCGTTGTATGAGGCCGTGACCTGGTTGAAAGGGTTGTCGGGGTGCTTCTCGAACTCCTTTCTAATTCTGGTCTTTCTCTGGTCCAAGCGAAGTCCGATGCCGCTGCCGTCCTTCTTCATCTCGTCGAGTCGTCGCTCCTCGTACTTGGCGTATGCGGCGGGGTATCGTCGTTCGGGGTGTCGGTCGACCTTGCCATCGTCCTTGTTGCCTGTCAGGGACAGGGCATCGAGGGCGTTATCGATACCAGAGGCGTTGATGGCTGAAGGCTTGTCGTCGTCGAGTTGGGAAAGGTCAAGGCCACGCGCTTTCTTGACAGGAGCTTTTGACTTCTTGGGGCCCTTTGAGGGATTGTTGGCATCCTCCTCGGCCTCGAGAGCAGCCTTCTCAGCCTTCTTCTTCTCAGCTTCAGCAGCCTTTGCAGCAGCAGCTTCCCTGCGCGCAGAAACAAAAGGTTAGCGACTTGCACAAGCTATGCATTACCTCGGCGGCGAAACTCACTTCTTGGCGTTGCTCTTGGCTCCCTTGTTCCACTTATCGGCTTCATTGGCTTCTTGACGGGCGTCTTCGGCGGCCTGCTTCTGGGCGGCGGACTCTGCCTTGCGAGCGTTGCCCTGAGCCTTCTTGCTGTTGTCGCTCTTCTTGTTGCCAGCCATTGCGAAAAGCTCCGGAATGTGGGTGATGCGAGTGGTGGGGGGAAATGAAACTGGTGTCTGCAGCAAAATCAGGAGATTAGTCAACTGCGAAACGTGAGAAAAGAAGGCGAAACAGGATAGACTAGACTATCCTCAGGATCTGCTTACTTACTTTTTGTTTGGTAGTAGTCAGGAAAGAGGAAAAGTTGCGATGTCGTAACTAACCTCAGAGTCAGAGTGGAGGGTGATGCCTAACCGATGACGGATTAGAACAAGATGCCTTGGAACCCTGATTAATCGGATCGTACAGTGTTGTGAGTCGATAATTTGTACTGTGTCTAGATGCGATTGTGAATGTGATTCGGTTGATTAGGTGGTTATTGCTTGTTTATATATATGCTCAATTGAATAAGAAACCCTTTTAACAAATTGTATTAACTCAACATCTAGGTTTATTATTTGCGCAGGAAAACTCAAAGGTAATGATACTGGAGAGCATTTGTTAAACTATAACATCTCTAGGGGATTTTGTCTTGAAAGAATGGAGAACTACATTAAAGACTGAGAGTATATTAAAGACACTGAGAGCATAGTAAAGACACCGAAAGTATAGGTAATAATAGTGTTTCTCTGCATGCCAATTTAAACTTAACCTTTTTCATGATTCTTCAACTCACAGAGTGCACCAGTCCATCTCCAACACCCATGCAATGAATGTCAGTTAGCTGACCAGTGCAATATTCGGTGGTTTCCCAATAGAGCCAAACACGCAGCAGCTCCAAAAGCAGTTATCTGCGTTCAGTGCTATAATAGCATGGGCATCAATCCTTCAAACCTCGGCAAAACAGGTGGTAACTCAGAAGCTCTCATTTGACTCGGTTGTGTTACCACGGGATCACCGGTAAACCTTGGCAGTTTGAGTATGTAGTAGCATCGCAGCATCACATCAGCATCAGCATCAGGTACGCTGCTCATCACCCTACCCTCGCTTACAACTTGTCGTCGTTCAGTTTATGATGCGAACCCCCATGTGCGAATCAAAAACCTGCATGCTGTGAGACTTGAAGAGTGTCTTCAAAGGTACAACAGAGACATAATGACAATAACAGCGACGTGCATCAATAGTTGAACTAGGCAGCCAACCTTCAGCCTCAACATAAGGACGCTTGAACATGGGGGCGTTTGTCCAGAAAGTTGGCGTTACACAGCATCAGAACTCTCTTTCAATCCTTCGACAAAGGCAACTGAGTTTATAGCTCAGAAGTAACTTTGTGTAACCCGCGTCACCCCAGCATCACCTACCATGCGCTTATACCACTCCATTTGCCAATCAACTCTTGGGCATTTAGAAACAACCATTTTCTTACCGTACCGTGGCACAAAACCTACAAGCAAACAGACAAGCCACACAGGCTTTGACTTCTATAGCTTGTAAATGACAAGTCTTATTGTCCTCGAGACGTGGTTGGGTGCGATACGGACCTTGACAACACCATTATATCTCCTTCATTATTGTTTCTGACCATCTTTGCCTCTGTCATGCAGCTCCCGAACCGCGGGATCGGTACGGTCAACGGACCCAATCCCCCGAATGGGAACTAACGTTATCTATTCTCTGATGGGCAACCAGCTCGGGTGCTCTCCCGCAAGCCGCGACTACCTACAGCTCAATGCTCAAGGCCCAAGGCCCAAGGCTCAATCACACAGGGCTGACCAGGTTGTTTAGTCTCCTGCGAGACAACGAGACAAGATAGGCGTTGGTACGGTGTCTCTCGAGCCGGGGACAATCCCCTGTATGGCCCGTCTTGCGAATTTCGTCTAAAGCCACTCGGGTTTAGCCTTGCCCTTCGAATGCGTCCCATAAGTTAAAGGCTGACAAGAACACACATGCTTGTGCTGACTGCGCATGGTGGTCAAGTCTGTATCGGGCATGATCGATTACAGCAGCCTGCTTGATGGCATGATATGATGGCGACTTTGTCCATATCGGCTGGGGTAAGCATCTACCATGCTTCAGCCGCTCGTGATATAGGCAACCAAGGCAGCTTGCCGTGCGGACCCTTGAACTTTTGTCTCGTAGAGGAACACGCCTCGGGGATAGTATGTGCTGTCTTCCTTACTTGCCCCTTTGCAAGGCCCGTCTTCAAGATATGCCAGACGGCTCGGATGATGTACCCGCAGCATGAAGACCGGGAATGTCAAAGATTACTTACTCCCTTGAAATTTCCCGTTGAAACCCTGCCAATTTGCAACCTCGTCAAGACTGAACACGTACTGTACTCTCCTTTGTGCTCACCGACTAGCAAGTTCTTAAGATACGTCAGATTCAACAAGAACGAGGTTTCAACATCCCTTGGCCCGTCTTTCTCGATTCGGTGGGATGCATGGCTACCGAACAAGCCGTATCCGTTTGGGAAGATCCTACCAGAGCTGAAAATAGTACATGATCCTTGTATTCAGCGTATTGACAAGGGAAGTCACATCCGATTCCTTGTGCGACATCAAAAATGTGGCTTTATTCCCGTCTTCGTTTGAATCCTGTGAGACAAGATACAGAGTAGCGTCGTAGCCAAGGGTAGTCCTCGCCTGGAAGGGTAGGTCGCGAATTCATATCAGCTGGTCGATTCGTGTGGGATTCAGTACCTTACAAGTACTACAGGCAGGGTGGGTGACATGAGCCAGGTACCGCAAGTGCGAGATGCCATGTTTCAGTATAAGATGGGGGTTTGAAACATTTTATTCCCGCGCGATTCGACTTGATAAGAGGGACTGACTGACAGTTTGGTGTTAGTGAGGGGGGAAAAAACCTATGAGAGGACTAATTACTATTATAACTATGTCTTGGAGCTCGCAACAAGATAGTCCGCACTCCCTAGGTGGTGAAGGGCATAATAGTCTAATGTTATTGAGCTCAAGGATTCACAAGGAACCATGTTAAAGGCTGACAGGACGTGGTAGGCGAGGTGAGGGCGCTTAACTGAGTACTGAGTCCTGAAAGAGCCACGAATAGTACCAGAATGCGCAGTAGTACTCTGTACTCGTGGTTGAAAATACAGACAGACAGATCGATACATGCAGATTACATACATGCATGCCGCCCGCAAACTCGGGTAATCCATTGCTATACCCATATTGTAGCGTCCTGTCAAGGGTGCGTTCGGCTGTGAGACTGTGCCGTGTCTGAGCCCTAGGATTATTGGCTTCACGGCCAGGATGTCCGTATCCTGACGACTGTTTTCTCTTTGCACGCGAGACTGCATGTTGGAAGCGAGAAGTGACGAATCACTCGAGCCATGTTATGCTGTATCGTAATATAATGTAATGTACGGAGCAATCAATGTATAATGCCAGGTATGGAAAAGTCATGCCAACACAAGGCAAGGTTCGGTAAAAATCATGTCGTTCTCGAGTCTGTCTCAACTGCAACTGCTGTCACCGCTGGTACAACAGTAACATAGACGCAATATTGAGCGAGCCTTGTTGAGAAAGAGCCTGGTTTCCCTCACCTCTTTTTTTTGTACCCAAACCCGGCTTATATTCTTGGTCTCTCGGTCTCCATCACGCACGCTCATCGTGAAGGCGAGGGTGAGGTGAGGGTGAGGGTGATGATGACAGGGACATAGACGACGCCCCCATGCTGTGCAACGTTGATTCTCGATCAAAGACGTTGTTTGTTTTTATGCGGGGGCCCTGCACAATTTTGATGTGCTGTTAGTGAGGAGTAAATGAGACGAAGAAAAAAAAAGTCGCAGGGCAAGGCATCTGAGTCAAAGTCAAAAAGCCAAGGCAAAAAAAAGACTCCAAACGCAGTTTGCAAGGGTCGCTCAGGAATGGATCGACAGCAAGGGACCTGGGACATGACCAAGTGAGACACGACAGGGTAAGGAAGGGCCTCGTTTGAGTGAATAATGATACCTGCGTCAAAAAAGTCAAAGCCGTTTTATGGAGAAATCTGCCATGTCTTGGTCTGGGCTGGTCGATGTAAGTTGAGTCGGTGAGGTAGATTAACCTCACCGAGTTTAAGATGGACGACATGGTAGAGCATAGGCATAAGCATGGGCATGGGCATGGCAGCATGGTTAATCGAGAATGAATGAATGATCTGGCTAGACCTGGTCTGGTCCGATGACTGTATTGTTGTCTCCTCAAGATGAAATTGGTGTTTACTTACTTGTGTGGTTGTTTATGTATTTTGTATGTAACATCGCTCATTGGTAGTCGAGAGATGTTCGGTGCCAAAGTTGATGATTAAGGCTGCAGATGGGAGATTACCAAAAAAAGAAAGAAAAAAGTACATACATGAAATCTACAGTCAATCAATGTATATTCTTATTCTGATGACCCGATGATCTGGAACCGCCTTGCCTGCGAGTGCCAGATCATCAGCGTCAGCAAGATTGTCATGTGGGAACGAAATAAAATAAAAATGATGTAAGAGGTAACAGTGTTGCAGAACTAAAATAATGTATAACATTTTGATATCCTCCATCCTTACTAAGTTTACAAGGTCTTGTTGGTACGGTGTAAGTCGAGTATCGTTAAGTTAAGCACGAGCAGAAGCACGAGCACATCGCTTGCGGCTGTGTGAGAAAAAAAAGTCAATGCATCGGACGTCATTAAGCAAAACAAAACGGCCATGAAGAAGCGGGGCTGGAGAGGAGTAAGTCAGGCTCTGTTATTTGAGCATCAGGCTGTAACAAAGGTGCAAAATGCATGCTGAGCTGGTGATGTGATGTGCTGTACCGAAAACAGTAGGGGAGTCGAGACGAAACTTTACTGGGCAATAAACATGCAGAGACCCTTACTCCAAGCTTTGTCTAGCAATTTAGTTGCATTTCCCAACATCAAATCATGAAACAAAACCGGTCAAGATGATCATTTACCCGCATTCAAAGGGTTCCACTTGAGCAATCTATCTCTTTGTGACCCTCCCTTGAAAGAGGAGAGCAAAACTCCTTACTCCTCAATCAACGAGGAGGGGGAGTCGTCACTAACTCAAGCTGTGACTTGTTTGCGGGCTATTGGTAATCCAGAACATTGGTGGAGAGCAGCAAATGCAGGGAGTTGGTTAGGTTAGCATCATCATCATCACCAACTTTCTGTATCATATCAAATTGCATTACACGATATGAACAACCACCCACACACTATTGTGAAAGTAAAATAGAGTAACATAGAGCTTGAAAGTACAGAAGGAGTTGACGGTGCACATCCAATTCGTCCGGATCACCCAAGCTCTCTTCCCCGTCCAGAGCAATCCAAGGATGGCTAGCAGAACGGACGGTAAAGTTAATAATTAGAGATGAAAATGGAAATACAAGATGGAGATTGCCGTGGTTAAGTCATGGACGGGATCCAGAGCCGCTTCCCAGGCCAAAAAAGCAAAGTACTGCTACCTACCTGCAGCTGGTTAGAGGCAGCAGCTTCAGTGGACGAACAGAAGAGAAGAAAAAAAAAAAAAAAAAAAAAAAGAGCCCGAGCTTAAGCAAGCAAAAAGAAAAGAAAAAAACGAAATTACTGGTCTGTGGCTTTCCTTTCACTAAACTCACCCCACCCCTACCTCTTGCCATTCATGGAAGGGCCTCTCCCTCAAACCATCCCTCCTCTTCTCTTTCTTTGCTTCTTTTCTTGGGTCCCCACTCCACTTTCCACCACCCGCACGTTCGAGTTCGCAAACCCACGCTAATCCTGACCCTGGCCCCCTTTTCGAAACCTTCGAGAATTCCAACAAGAACTGGGGCGAACAGAGCGGTCAATTCTACCCCTGCAGGCCTATTTTTCTTTTTTTCTTTTTCTTGTCTCTCCCTTCAGCGCCAGTCAAGGACAAGGGCTGTACAATGCCCCGGACCACCAAAGTACAGAGGCAGTACGTGCGTGTACGTGCTCAAGTTGACGCTACAGAAACTCAAGTAACCTACGGTCGACGCCGAAGGCTTGCGGGGTTCATGGCAATCAACACGAGATGACGGATGGATCCTCTCATTTCTGCCATGATGAGCGAACCATCGACACCACAAACGCGTGGTGTTGTACAGAGTTGAGTAGTCCTGGTGGTGGTCCGAAAGCGGCGCGACAGGTCGACAACCCTTTTTCAACCGTCGTGCAGACGCCTGCATACTACGTATGAACTGAAAGTACTGGTCATGGTTGTCATTATCCCGTATGGATCAACTCCAAGAAATCAAACACCCGTGTTGCCCTCCCTGTCTCCAGCGATCCGTTTGGATCGGGCCACCCGGCCTGCTGGGTTTGACATTTTTCTGCAAGCTCTTCTGAAACACCTTACGAGATTTTCTTACCCTCGCTCGTCCTCTTTTACACATATGCCTGTCAGGCAGGCGTGTGCCCGCTGTCTGCCTCACTTTTTTCCTTGTGCGGGCGGGGCTTCATCTGTTATATTGCGTAGGTGCAGTTCATAATACACACAGATGCAGTTGCAGTAGTCTGCGACATGGGATGGGATGGGATGGGATGGGATAGTCTTCCCCTACCGAGACTACCTCATTTGTACATACGGTACAATCGACAAGATGCATCAGATCAACCCAGCCCACCGGGTCGCTTGTCCGTCGCCCCCTTTTTCCCCTGAGGCCAACGAGTCCGGCTCTTTTTTTGTGGCCACTCGGCTTCTCCCCTTGAGCGGGGCGCCATGCGACAGGCTACAATAAAAGTAGTCTCTTGGTAGCACGAGACCTCCCGCGCCGTCTCGAGCTGTACCGGCAAACACTGCCATGATCCACTTTCTACCAGTCCGGAAGACAGGATCTCCTTTCCGGACCTCACAAGGATTTCAAAAGGGAAGAGGTAGACAATGTTATTGGACAGCAAGAAGCGCCCGGACTCGACGATGACGACAGTAAATGTGCAACTCATCCACGACTGACGCGACACCTTATCGTCTGTGGGCGATAGCGAAGCCGAGGTTGCTCAATACTGGCTACAGTTGGAAGACGAGGCTCTTTGTGCGCAATGCAGAGTCAACAAAGTTTCAGGCTTCACCGACGATATGACTCTATCTGCACTTTGACTTGCAGATGATGCAACGCGGATCTGACACCTACCCGGCAGGCGCCTGAAAGCGTCCACGTCGTCGGTACCCATTTCGAGTCTATTTCAATCTCCTACTGCACATCATGCATACAGATCAAAAGGAGCCGCGGGCGCGTGTGAAACAGGCGAGTGATACTGCACTATGCCGTTTCTGTGAAAGCCAGCCTCGAGCGTCCAAGTGGGGGGCCAGGCCTAGATTTTAGCCACTTCTTGTGCGACAAGAGACGTAGTATTCGGGGCTTGAACAAACGCACGCTGGCGAAGCTCTGTTCTTTTTTTGCCTTTGTCCTTCCCCAGCCCGGCAGTGTCCAACTTGAACCTGGTCACAATGCCGACATTCGGTGTACCGATGTGGATTCGGACTTGGATATGGAAGACGCAATTTCATACCGACTACAGCAAAAGGGCGGCTCCCGAGTGGTGACAAGGCGCGGGTGTACGGTACAGAAACCGCATCCAGCATCTCAACCTGCTTGCAGACTAATTAAAGACGATCTAACAAATTGTATCTGTGGAGTCGGCTACACTTCCGGCAGTCTTTGTCGTTCGGGGCTTATTACGGCCCAGCGGCTTGGATGCGGGTGGACCGCTTGACTGACTGGCAAGCTCAAAGTCGAGTCAGAGATGGATGCTATAGAACAAATCACTGGCGCAGACCCGTCCTAGGGTGGGAATACCCTACAGCTTCCACCCTAACTTGAAACCATCACATTAATTGCAGCATCGTCAAGCCTTAATCACTGCCAGTTTCGTCTTGATGCCAACCATACACATGTGTGGCTTTCGCGCCGCACCGCCGATTCCACGTGCATGCGGTAGGCGAAGGGTCCGGTGCGGCATGGCGGTGACAATGTCTCGGGTTCCTGATCAGAATCTCACACCTCAACGTCCGACCCCTTGCTCGCTCATCTATGAGTAGCTCCTCTTCTTTTAACCCTACTTTATGGGGCTCTCCGGGGATGGTGATATTTCCGCTTCTACTTCAAACACACACGTTTTACGTATTTGTTGGCGCTTCATCTCGATGACTGTGGAAGTCGTGAAAATTTCTCATTGATGTCAAGTAGCGGCCCAACATATGACTGTGACTCTCGGAATGCGCACACATTTCCTCGGTCAAAGTCAGCCACGTGTCTGTTGTCAGACCGGCCTGTCATGCTTTGGTTCGCATGCGACAAATCAAATTACGTTGTTGCCTGTCGGTTTATTCTTGACCAGGACCGTTGGCGAGAAACCTGGGATCTTTCAGTGATAGCCCCGCCTGGCTGGGGGACGATGTCTGTATCGATCACTGGAGCAAGTGGTCTCATCTGCCTACTACGTAGAGATTTCCTTGAGCTTGGCAGCACTTACACATGGGCGTCTCGGCCTAGTCGTGCACTTCTCGGCCGACTGATATATGACAAGAAGGAACACATATTCCGCGCCCCAAAGTCGATATCTCGTGGATTAGCATTGCTTTGTAATAAGCACGAGATAGTCCCAACTTGATTCATTATGCCAAAACATGTCACAATCAAGTCCTTGGACAACATCCTAGCAATACTGCCCTGCACACCGAATAGGAGAGGAACCTTGGCGATTCC